CCAGTAAAGCCAAACCTGCCAGGTCTTTAATCCATTTTAAAGGATTATTTGATAATCCTTTAAAAACAATAGTCAGTACATTTCTCATTTTAGAACCCTCTCTCAGAGTCAAAGCCACCTAAAGGCCCTATACTACCTGCACCCCCTCCCAGACTATTTCCTCTCAGATTTCATCTTATAATAATCTTCTTTGGGAATTTGTCTGTTTTGTTTACTGAGCTATTCGTAGCATATCTTAGTAATAATGCTTGGCATATAGTAAGGTGGTTAATAAATATTTGTTGAACGAGTGAGAATTATCTAACTCTAAAGTATATCCTTTTCATGATTTCCTTCTACGCATATATTGGTGGCTCTGAATTAAGTTTGGTTGGCTGGATTCTCTTCAAAGTGGCTCTTATATCAAAGTTTCACTTTTGGACCAACAGACGAGACATTTGGCCTCTTGGGGTTTTAGTGGCTCTCATTCCTTTAAGTATGAGTTGGCCCAGGGTACACCCTGATTCTTATACAGTAGTTACAAAATGGACAAATAAGGGTATGTTGCAGGAAGAATAAGCCAGAAAAGCAGCACTGTTTCTAGTTTGTTACTTCTGGATTTTTAAAAATTAAATAAAAATACATTCCAATAAGAGCCAAGTTAAAATTTTCACATGGACATGTAATATTCATTATTACTCAACAATCTAGATGACATTCTGTAACAATTGCTTAATTTCTGGAAAAAAATATTTCTAAACAACTTAACTATGCCAATAGCTTTTGTACAGGCCTCTCTTTTGGTCACACAACACTGAGGGGATAAGGTGGGAGTGGCTACAAACAAGGCTGGCTTTAGACTAGAGCGAGCTCTCTAGAGGCTATCAAATGTTAGTTAAATAAATTACGATCCACTTATGTGATGGAATACCTTACTACTAAGCGGACACTTAAAAGCATGTGATATGTGGTATAATGTTTAAATTAAAGAGTAGATAAAAATAAGCATATATAATTTGATACAAATTTTTGTGGCAGTTTATTTTTTTGAGATATTAATTCTACGTGTTCTCCTATTCCCCCGACCCTCGCCCCTATCCAAGCAGGTATCTGGACCTCAGGTTTTTATAAGGCAAAAATCAAAAGCTGCTTAGAGACAACATAAGCTCTCCTTGTCTTTTGAATGAGAGGAGTACTTTAAGGGTGAGGTAAAAGAGAAGTTTAGAAGTCGGTAGCCCATTGGTTAAGGGAACAGCTAAGACTTCTGTTTAGCTCTGTGACAGAACAGAGGATGGTGGCACAACCCCAGAGATGAAGGCTGCACCTGGGTGCAGGAGCTGCCAGATTCACTCACTTGATTCCAGACGGTTGAATTCCAAAGATGGTAAAGGAATAGTGGAGTCATCAGACCTGAAGGGAAGATGGCACATAAAAGGGAATTTCCGCAGTAAATCAGTGTGTAAAGGTGACCAAATAATTTGAGGTAATCCCAGATACTTCCACAATAATTATGGCCCTAGTAACTTTGTACAGTGCTCTATGGAGAGGAAATGCTCAATAATAATGGAGAATTAGTTTCCACCAGCATGGCAGGATGGTAATTCAGGGTTAGATTCAAGTTGATATAAAAAAATGCAGGCTTTCTATGGAGTAAGAGTCTCATCCACAATGTATATACAGACAACATATTACAAATTATAAATACTGGAAAATATGTTCTCAGGATAATTTAAGGAATATTGTTTAAAGGGAAAAAATCACTAAAATTTTAACTGATTTCCTCTACCCATTGGAAGACGGGATTATTCTTCATAGGGTACATTTGAAAAAAGAAATAAAAGTGTATATTCCTTTTATAATTGAAAAAAATTATATAAGAACAACTGCAAACTGATTTTTTTCCTTAGATATTTGAGCAGGTATAAAACAGGGAAGGGCATATATCATAATCTTAGGTTCTATTTTTCCAGCTGATATTGTTCCAGCTGATATCCTACTGATATTGTTCCAAGAAGCATAATCTACACTAAACCTCAAGAAAAGATAACAGGTTTTTCTCATATTAAAAAAAAAGTATTATAGACCACCTGCACCCTGTAAAAATATAAAGTATTATTGTATCCATCAGAGTACCAGCAAGAAACAGATGGCACACTCAAAAGAGGCAACTGAAGAAAGTATAATCAGAATGTTGGTAGGAAAACAGCAAGAGATGATGCTGTACCACTGCCAACCTGGTGCCAACATGGAGAGAGAAGGGGTAATAAGTACTTTATCTCCTACTGCCTTCTGATCTCCTATTGGCAGCCTCCATCAGCTGAGCTTAACCAGAAGTCAGAGAGGAAGGGACATTGCTGCTATAATCCATAAAGAGTGAAGTAGATACATAGAGGTAACAGAATATCTACCATGGTGACATTAAAGTGCAAGCAATTCTACAATTTTACTGTCAATATTTTCAAATTTAAAAATTCTACTAGAAGAGTACTAAAAACACCAAGTTTTAGATATCAATCTTTGGTATTATGCAATGTATGGGTAAAAATATTCATTATATAGTATTTTTATAATACTGAAGACTTGGAAATAATCTAATTGCCACCCATAATTAATTTATTAGATTTCTACATAAGGGAATAATATGCAACTGTTGAAAACAATACAGATCATTATTTATGTATAAGAAAAGATAGCCGCCCTAGCCAGTTTGGCTCAGTGGATAGAGCATCACTCTGGGAACTGAAAGGTCCTGGGTTTTATTCAGGTCAAGGGCACATGCCCCCAGTAGGGGGAGTGCAGAAGGCAGCCAATGAATGATTCTCTCTCATCATTGATGTTTCTATCTCTCTCACCCTTTTCCTTCCTCTCTGAAATCAATAAAAATATATTTAAAAACAAACAAACAAAAAAAGAATGCACAATTTCCAAAAAGAAAAGATGGCCACACTTTTCTAAGTGTACTATTCATTCAGTAATACTCATTAAGCAGTTAGTATGTGCCAGGCATTGTGCTAGGTGCTGGAGAAACAAAAGAGAAAAATCTATTAATTTAAATCTGTTATTTTAATCCACTAAATTAACAATGATTTTTAAAAAATGACAACTAATATTGTTGAATTTAAGGAGGAGGACACTCATACTATTGTTTGGAGTAAATTGGTAAAACATTTCTGGAGGGCAATGAGCACTTTTTATCAAAAGCCTTAGAAATATTCATTTCATTTGACTCTGCAATTACATTTTTATGAATTTACTAGAGGCCCAATGCACAAAATTCATGCAAGAATAGATTTTCCTTCCCCTGGCTGCCAGCATTGGTTTCCCTCTGGCATCCAGGACCCAGGCTTCCCATAAATGGAGGTCCTGCCCACCCACCGCAGCCCATTGGTCAGTGGCCTGGGCCTCCTTCTGCAGGTCGATCATGGGGCGCACCCACCTTGGCTGGCCTGGTGCCAGTGGATGTCATAGCATGGTCCCAGATGGTCATCCAGATGGTTATCCAGGTGGCTGGCCATTCTGCTGTTCAGTCGATTTGCATATCAAGCTTTTATTATATAGGATTCTAAAGAAGGGAACAGAGATGTACAGGAAAAAATACATCAAGCAGCTCATAAATACATTGCTTGGGGAAAGGAGTACTTAAATATTAAATAGGGACTTCAGTAAATAAAATATATGGACATAGGGTGGAATACCAGGAAGCTCTGTTTAACCTGAAAAATGTTTAACATGGAAAAATGTCCAAAATATATGTGAAAGTGTTTAAGAAAGAGTGATACTCAATTGTCCCAAACTTGAATGAATCACTTAAGTGATCTGACTGTTACTTCATCTTCAAAGCTCACATCCTAAGGATCCTTTCCTTTTTTTAAATATATTTTTATTGATTTTAGAGAGGAAGGGAGAGAGAGGAAGAAACATCAATGATGAGAGAGAATCATTAATCAGCTGCCTCCTGCACACACCATACTGGGAATCTACTGGGAATACGAACCATGACCTCCTGGTTCATAGGTGGATACTCAACCACTGAGCCATATCAGCCAGACCTCCTTAAGGATCCTTTCAACTCTTACCTGAGTCCAGATACTCATCCTTTCTTCAATATAAAGAAAATAAGTCATCCTTGGCAGTCGGCAGATATTAGGTTGGCTACTGCTTGCAGTGTCCTCAACTATTTAATCTCAGGGACTTATTAATGCTCTCAAAGAGAAAATACATATCTCTGAAGAAAGTGTCCCATTTTTTTTTTCTCAATGACCTAATCAACCAGGAACCAGGCTTGGTTTGGGGGCGGAGAGAGGGCGTCGGACGCACAGAAAGATATTAATGCCTTCAAAAAGTTCAGTCTGGTGGGAGGAAACCAATAATAATGACGATGACCAATGATGACAGGCTTTGACAGATGAGTTCTCCTTTTGGATTCCCACGTGCAAAGAAAAGCATGTACATGGACAACATGCTCCAGTCAGCGTATTACGGTTGACCCAGAAGACGGGCCATTATTTTGTGGCCTTTCTCATGGCAATCTGCTTCTTCTCTCAGTCACACAACCCACCACCTCTCTGTGGATGGTAAATGGGAGAGGCTGAGCTGCACACTCCATCACCCGAGTAGCGGCAGCGGTCTTCTCGAGCGATGTCAGGGGTATCCGGCCGGGCCAGTGAGAAACTGGAGGGCATCTGCAAGCACACAGGTAAATCGCGAGGATGGAGGAAGCGCAACTTGGTACTGGCCGCCCAGCAGCTCTGCGGGGCCGTGGACACTCTGGCCCCGGGATTTCCCGCCAATCTCGGTGCCACCTTCCCCGAGGCCCCGCCCACCCCGGACGTCAGCGCTCCGAGGGCGGGGAGGCGTTGGGAGCCTATCGATGTCTCTGGGATAGATTGCTCTGCCCTGCGCCTCTGCCGTCAAAGTGACGCAGACTTCCCAGTAGATCGCCGAGCGGTAGTTTCGGCGGCGCTCCTAGATCGATCGGCAGCTTTGCAGGAGGAGCGCACAGCCAGCCCCGCGTCGGAACCATGGTGCGTTGGATTCCGAGCCCGGGCAGGGTTGGGGCAGAGGTCCGCTAACTGGCCGGGTGGCGAGCCGCGTCTCCAGCCAATCCTTAGAGGGGCCGGGGGCCGCGGGGCACGGGAACCAGAGACGACGCGAGGGTTCGGGCAGTGATTCAGCATCTCCGGCCTGGCCGGGAGAGGGGCGGGCGGGAGTCGGGGCGGCCTTTCTCCAGGGTTTGTTTCACTTTCTGCCGGGCCTCAGACACTACTTCCTCCGTGAACTGGCCTAGTTCGCCCTCCCAAGTTCTCTCAGTGGAGTAGATACTTAGCTGTACTGAGTGGTCCCCTCGTGCTCCGCGGGGGGCGGGGGGGGGCGGGGGGGGGGAGAAGGAGGAGAAAAGAGGGATTTGCGTTGGAGGCTTCCTGGTACTGCCCTTGCGGACTTGACTCCAGGGTTTGGGTTCCGGTACCGCGTGCACTTTCTCCTGCTGTGTCCCATCTAATGGCCCTGACTTCTAGAACTCCAGGAGAAAAGGCCATTTTCAGTCACATTGTCCAGTCACCTAGTTTTCAGATGAGTAAACCAAGGCTGAGAGGAGATATGATGTGATCAGGATTACAACGTGGGACTCGGGGCTTCCAGTACTCAATCTGTTCACCCCCATGATTATTCTCTCAAGGACTGTTCTGGTAGACTTCTTTTAATACCGTCATTAAAGCAGTAATGGTTCTGTCGCGGTAGCTATTTGTGTCCACTTATACCTTCCTGAGGACGTTTTTGTGTTTATTCATTCAATATGAATGTCTATACCTACAAGGCACTATTTTAAGTATGGTGAGCATTCAAAGATAAAATAGACATGCCCCTAATCATAATATAAGGAAGAGAGGATGTGAGGTAAAGAACTGGTGGGAGTATGTGTTGGGGGAATGTTGGAAGAAAAGATGGAGAAATTTCAAGAGATAGACATTTGACCTAAATTTTCAAAAAGGAATGCTTTTGATTATTTATTAAAGCTGGTATAAGGGAAGAACATAAGCAAAGATATGAGGGAAAGTTGACACACATGAACTTGGGTAATTGACTGAACCCAAAAGGAGTGCCGTGGTCTTTGGTAGGATTGGAAGTTGGGAAGATAGGTCCCATCTAGATCTGCTTCCTCCCTCCCCCACTAACTCATGGTATATGTAGAATTGGCTTGCAACTAAGTACATACAGTAGTAATCTTACAATAAGATTGTATTAACAACGTTGTATTAACGTTGAATGGGAACAGATGGGAAAACTTTTTTAAAAATATATTTTTTATTGATTTCAGAGATTAAGGGAGAGAGAGAGATAGAAACATCAATGTTGAGAGAGAATCACTGATCAGCTGCCTCCTGCATGCCCCACACTGGGGGTTGAGCCTGCAATCCAGGCATGTGCTTGACTGGCAATCAAACCGTGACCTTCTGGTTCATGGGTCAGTGCCACATCAGCTGGACAGGAAGACATTTTTTTCTTTAATAATAAAGCTAGTTAAGAGTTGGGATTTGTAATGTTCTTATATTAATAGGTCTATTTTCTTTTACTTTCAGTTTCGCAACCAGTATGACAATGATGTCACTGTTTGGAGCCCTCAGGTAAATGTTTTATGCAATTTCTATGAAGTGGCTTTTGGTGGCTGCAGTATGTTTAGAAACTCATGATATTGTAGGCTGTGAGAAAATAGGATACAATCACTTTGGACATTCCTGGGCCTTATATTTATCATTAAAGTAAGATTTCTGGTTTAAAAATAATCATTTGAGATTTCACTATGCTCACCTGAGATTTGGGAACTCTAATTTTAAATTTATGAAAGAGTCTTGTAAGATGACTCTAAGATATCTTATTTTTTTTTTCTTTAGGGCAGGATTCATCAAATTGAATATGCAATGGAAGCTGTCAAACAAGGTTCAGCCACAGTTGGTCTGAAATCAAAAACCCATGCAGTATTGGTTGCATTGAAGGTAAGTAAGTAAAGCAATAAGTGTATCTTTCTCGTTTAGAAAAACAGAACTATCAAGCATAAGTTTCACTGTACAGGTAATAAAATTTTTAAATTATTTGTATGTTTTATAATGTCTGTATTTAGAGAGCACAGTCAGAGCTTGCCGCTCATCAGAAAAAAATTCTCCATGTTGACAACCATATTGGTATTTCAATTGCGGGACTTACTGCTGATGCTAGACTGCTATGGTGAGTATGATCATGAAAAACAAGCAACATCTCTTTTGATTTATCATTGATTTCATTTCTAGAGAAGAACCAGTTAATATATGTTAGAGAGTTCTCTACCAGAGTATTTCTAAGGCAAGGTTGTGAACACCTTAGTGGATTTGGGCTCAGTTATTAAGTATCCCATTTCTTGATTCCTATAATAGTAACAAATAGAATTAAGCATATTAGCACATTTGAGAAATCCCTGAATAATGTGAAACTTAGTAACTCAGTGTATATTGTTTGAGATGATATTTTGTTTAAAAAGAGCTTGACAATTTTTGTCTGATTTCTGAGAAACAGCTGAACTACCCTTGCTTTCTTTAATACATCAGAATTTTAGTTTTTGAAAAACTTAATTCTGGATACTGCATAGTATTTACAGGTGAATCAGATATAGATCTTGTATACTAGAAAATGCAAATCTAGTAATATATCTATAATGAAAAGTAAAAAATGGAGAGTAATAGGTAGATGTTTGTGGGAGTTCAAAGGAAATGAAGATTATTTCTAGTTTAAAGGCATTATGTAAATGAAGAGCTAGGTCTTTGAAATCACACAGAATTTTACTTCCCACCTATATTCTTAGTATCTGAGATTGGGCTTGTTGTTTAAATTCTTAATTTTTTTTAGTATTATTTTATTCAAGGTTATTGTTAAGTAGCCTAATATGTAGAGCACTTAACAGTAGCTGCAGCTAGCCGAAACCGGTTTGGCTCAGTGGTAGAGCATCGGTCTGCGGACTGAAAGGTCCCGGGTTCGATTCTAGTCAAGGGCATATACCTTGGTTGCGGGCACATCCCCGGTAGGGGGTGTGCAAGAGGCAGCTGGTCGATGTTTCTCTCTCATCGACGTTTCTGGCTCTCTATCCCTCTCCCTTCCTCTATAAAAAATCAATAAAAAATATATATTTAAAAAAAACAGTAGCTGCAGCTAATATGTGAATGAGTGTATTGGATTATGGGAGTAATAAGCCAAAACTATTATGTTTTTAGTATGTGACTTAAATAGGGAAGAAAGAATATAGCTACTAAGGGGAAATAGTAATGCTAATGTTTAAGATTTGTAAGTTATCCAGCAAACTCCTGTTCTTTTGAATCAGCAGTATAGTGACAACATTATTGATTTATGGCAGTTCTTGAAAATGTAAAATATATTTCACTATCAAACATTTTATTTAAACCAATCTGTTTAAAATGTCATGTCAACATATAATCAATATAAAAACTACTGAAATATTTTGCATTGTTTTTATACTAAGTCTTTGAAATTTCATGTGTATTTGGTACTTATGATACATTTCAGTTTAGACCAACTATTTTTTAAATGCTCAGTAGTCACATGTGATTAGTACATGCAATATTGGGGCAATGCAGTCTGAGACAGCCTTGGGAAATGGACTTAAATAAAGTACTGAGCAAAGAGCTTGGTTTCTGCAGTCAGCATTTAATCATCAGATGTGACATGTACACAAATTGGACAAAGCAATACAGAAAGGCAGACATCTGTTGTTTATCCTCTTGGCTTGAATAGTTAGGCATGAATTCCCTTTTCCCCAATGTCAGATTTACTTGAATCTTGTCAGGTTTAGCGATGAGATTCAATAGTCAGGAACAAGTAACAGTGTCTTAGTATAGATTCTATGTTTTGCAATTGTTCTATTGAGGAAATTTTAGTTTTTAAGAAAAAAACAGTAAACTTGTTCCTGGCTAAAGACAGAATTCAAAATAATCTTTTTGACAGTGGAAAGATAAGAGAGAATGTTCTTTTTCTCTTGTTCAGCCTTCTCTCTATTCTGTAAAGTACCCCGAAAAAAAGGTTCTCTAAAGGAATATTTTAGTTGTGCAAGGGTTTTTGTTGTTGTTGTTTTTAAACTTCACGTGCTTCCCTACCCTCAGAGTTTGGTATAAAAACGCATCCTTCCATGTCTTTCTGGTTCACTTATATGAATGTAATCCATGTGAGTGTTTGGAAGAAAGCAAAATGAAATCAAACTACTTAATTTAGATTTGAATAACTCTGTGATTTGAAATTACTAATTTTTCTTGTTTCTTTTTTAGTAATTTTATGCGCCAGGAGTGTTTGGATTCCAGATTTGTATTTGACAGACCTCTTCCTGTGTCTCGTCTTGTAGCTCTAATTGGAAGCAGTATCCTTTTTATGTTACAATTTTGGACCTGAACTTTAAAGAATTTTGATACTTAATCCTTTATGTTAGTTATTAGAAATATTGTAGTGTATAACATAGGTAATATTGCAGGAAAAGGTTACTTTTCAATAACAATATTTAAAATTTAGAAAGAGAACTAGGGGAACTTTTACTATGGAAGAGTGGGTTCTAAAATATGGAATTGGTTTGCTCTATCATTAGCCCTTATAAGCAATTGATATTTTGCAGACATAGATAAGGTCAATTTCAGTAAAACTAACCAAGATGAGATTTAAACTCCCCCCCCCCCCCTCGGTTCTGGATGTCCTAAAAATATTCTTGACTGCTTATATCCAAAACAAATGAAATTCTCTTTATGAGAAGAAAATATTTTATTAATAGTTGAATATTTTTTGGTGGATAGTTGAGCATTTTTTAATAGTAGGCCAAAGAAATATTGTTCTGTTGTTTTATTTTCTTCTTCCTATGATAGATTATGCAGAAATTAAAAAATCAAAGTTCTTTGTTAATAATGTTTAATTTGAAAAGAAAGATAGTATTTTATTTCTTGTTAGAACAGGCTCTTTAACTAGTTTAAGAGACCCAGATACCAACACAAAGATATGGCCGAAGACCATATGGTGTTGGACTGCTTATTGCTGGTTATGATGTAAGTTCTCGGAGTATTTTTTACATTTTAATGATTTTTAAAAAACTGACTAGAAATTTTCTAATTTTTAGCTCAATCAAAATCAAGAATTATGTGGTGTTTCTCCTCCCTTGCCCCCATTTGTAGGATATGGGCCCTCATATTTTCCAAACCTGTCCGTCAGCTAACTATTTTGACTGCAGAGCTATGTCCATTGGAGCCCGTTCTCAATCAGCTCGTACTTACTTGGAGAGACATATGTCTGAGTTTATGGATTGTAAGTGATTTTTATTTGCCCCCTCCACTCTTTATATAATGAATTAGCACAGCTTCCTAAATGAAGAAAACTACCAGTCTTACAGTAAGAATTTTTTAAAAAATTAAGCCGGTGAAGTGTTTATTATTTCTGTTATACATGCTAGCTGTTAGCCCTTCTAACTACCGCAGTAGTTACATTCACTAATAGGACTTTTTCAAATACAAATATGTGTCCCCAACCTTGAAGACTTAATTCAGTTGTTCTGAAGTATGCCCCCTACAGTTGAGAAACACTGTTTGCAGCTGTTACCTTTTTAGGCTCTGTTCTTACTTTTAGCCACACAGATATTTCTGCATAAACAAGTAAAAACTCAGTGTAATTGTAGGAAAGAAAGGTAAAAGATATGAGATGGCCCTAGGGTCCTGGGTTCAGTTCCACTCAGGGGCACGTGCCTGGATCATTGATGTTTCTCTCTCTCTCTCCCTCTCTCTTTCTCTCTGAAATAAATAAAAATATAATTTTAAAAAATATGAGATGATAGGGCAGGTTTTCAAGTGCTTTGCTTATTGTCTTGAATTTTAACACATGGTTTTGAAATTATTTATTGAGGTGATCATGTGGGTTTCCCCTTTCATTCTATTGTGCTCTATTAAATTAGTTGACTGAATGTTAAACCATCTTTGCATTTCTGGGAGAAATCTCTCTTGGTCATAGTGTATAATATAAATTATATGTATAAGTGCTTATATAAACGTTTCTAGATTCAGTTTACTGTGTTTTGTTGAGTTTTTGTGTGTCTATATTCATAAGACAAATTGACCTATAGTTTTATTCTCTTGTGATGTCTCTGTCTAGTTTTGCTACAAGCCTTTGAGCTTTACATTTGTGAATCAGGATTTTGATTTAGCTTAACATAAGGAAAAGTCAAATTCAGTAAAAACCATATCTCATTAAATAAAACAATCAGCAATGTTATCATGACTAGAAGATTATAGGGCTAAACATTAAACTTTTGGCTGTTTTTATTGTGATATATTTAATGTGACTAAGATGGAATTAAGAAATAATTGTTTGTTTATTATATATAGGCAATTTGAATGAACTGGTTAAGCATGGCCTACGTGCTTTAAGAGAGACACTTCCTGCAGAACAAGACCTAACTACAAAGGTAAATGCCATGTTTTCCAATTGTAGATATTAACATTACACTTCAATCATTAATTGCACATGAAATTTGGGCATGGATATGGTCCCTAGGCCTGGCCTGCGATCAGGAGCATCTCTGGCCGCTGGCAGCTGGCCCAGCCACTACCCACCCTCAGTTCCCTGTTCGCCATTGGGTGATCAGAACCTGCGGGCTGTGGGGAAGGACTGAGAAGTTGGCCATTCCCACCCCAGCCATGGGTCGCCCTCTGTGTGGGGTGAATGGCATGTCAGGGGCCTTGGTCTGGTGCCACCCATGTCCTCGCCACCCACCCTTGGTTCCCTGTTCACCATCGGGCGATGGGGGCCTGCGGGCCGAGGAAAGGGACCAAGAAGTGGTCAGTGCGCTTCATAGTGACTGGTCATGCAGTTGTTCTGGACTTTCCGCCATTTTGGTCAATTTGCATATTAACCTTTTATTATATAGGATAATAAAACATCTTCGCTTTTATGGCACCTATATCCAAGTGGTGGGAGATAGACAGTGTACCCATAAGTAAGTTATGTAGTATATAGATGATAACACTGTAGAAACAGTGAAACCGTGTAAGAGGAGAAAACATAACCAATTGGGTGTAGGTAGGCAGTATAGTGGATATAATTTAAAATAGGTGTCAAGGATGCAGAAAGTGGAATGTGCCCTACTCAGGGCACATATAAGAATCAACCAATGAATGAATAAGTGGAACAACAAATCTCTAAAAATCAATTTTAAAAGAAAGAGCCCAGCTGGTGTTGCTCAGTGGTTGAATGTCAACCTATGAACCAGGAGGTTACAGTTCAATTTCTGGTCAGGGCACATGCCTGGGTTGTGGGCTTAATCCGATCAATGATTCTCATCATTGTTTCTCTCCCTTTCTCTTCCTCTCTGAAATCAAAAACATTTTAAAAAGAAAAAAAGAAAGTGGAACTTGAGGAAGATATCTAAAGGGAGTGAGTGAGTGAGCCATACAGATGACTAGAGCACGCTTATTCCAGGGAATGCGAGTACAAGGGCCTTGGGTCCAGAATGTTTCTAGTATTAAAGACAAGGAGGCTGATAGTGTTGGAGTTAGTGATCAAGAAAAAGTGAAGAAAGGAAGTTAGAGAGGTAATGGATTGACTATGTCTTATGATAAGTACTTTGGATTTTACTATGAGTGGGCTATTAGAGTTTGAGCAGAGGAACACCATGATTTGATTTAGGTTTTAAAAGATTGGCTGGTATTTTGATAACAGATTCTAGTGGGAGCATGGGTAGGAATAGTTTTAAGACTGTTACAGTAATTCAGGTGAGAGATTGTTGCAGATTAGGCAGAGTCATAGAGTTTGGTTACTTTGTATTTTTTAAAAACCTGTCTATTGATTTTTTTTTTTTTTTTTTTTTAAGAGAGGGAAAGATAGAAACATTGATGAAAGAGAAACATTGATTGACTGCCTCCTGCATTCCCCCTACTGGGGATCAAGCCCACAAACCCAGGCATGTGCCCTGATCTGGAATTGAACCAGTGACCTCTTGGTGCATGGGATGATGCTCAACCAAATGAGCCATACCAGCCAGGCTTTTTTTTTTTTAATATATTTTATTGATTTTTTGCAGAGAGAAAAAAAGAGGGATAGAGAGTTAGAAACATCGATGAAAGAGAATCATCGATCAGCTGCCTCTTGAACACCCCCTACTGGGGATGTGCCCACAACCAAGGTACATGCCCTTGATCGGAATTGAACCCGGAACCTTTCAGTCCGCAGGCCTATGCTCTGTCCACTGAGCCAAACCAGTTCGGCTATTTTGTTTTTTTTGACATGGGGGAAATTATAGCATGTCTGCTGCATGAGAATAATTCAGTATAAAAGGAACGATATATATGGGAAATTTGAGAAAAACTGCTAAACCAATTTCTTCGAACAGTATACAGGTGGTAAAATAGATCTTAGAGAAGAAATTGGATGATTCATTCACAGTAACAGGAAGGGAGAGAATGTAGGGACATAGATACAGGAAAGAGTGGATTCTGTGGGAGCTTGTGAATGTTCTCTTCTTAATTGGCTTTTATTTTCTCAATGAAATTGCAAGGTTTCCATCTGTAAGGAGAATGGGGGATTGGATGATTTAGGGACCTTTATAGCACAACGCAGAAACCAGTAAAGGCCTCCTGGAAGTTAATGATTATTTATTAAAGTGAGATCAGTCACGCCAAAACCGGTTTGGCTCAGTGGATAGAGCATCAGCCTGTAGACTGAAGGGTCCCAGGTTCGATTCCGGTCAAGGGCACATACCTTGGTTGCAGGCACATCCCCAGTGGGGAGTGTGCAAGAGGCAGCTGATCGATGATTCTCTCCCTTCGATGTTTCTAACTTTCTATCCCTCTCTTCCTCTCTGTAAAAAAAAAAAATCAATAAAATAATAAAGTGAGATCAGTCAGGATATTATAAATCCATTTTGTTTCAGTGGTTAGATAATTATTTAGTATGTATATGAAAACTTTATAGCCTGCATAATTTTTCTAAAATAAATTTTCCTGTTATAAAAATAATACTCTTTTTTAAACAAATTAGGAGCCCTGGCAGTGTGGCTCGGTTGGAGCATCATACATGCACTGGAAGGTCCCGGGTTTCATTCCTGTTCAGGGCACATACCCGGGTTGCAGGTTCAATACTGGTCAGCGTGCATGTGAGAGGCGGGCCAATCAATGTATCTCTCTCATGTTGATGTTTCTCTCCCTCTTTTTATTTTCTCTTTTTTCCTCTCTTCCCCCTTCCTTCTTCTAAAAATAAAAAAAGTAGAGAAGTACATTAAATTTTAAAACTTTGTTTAAATTGTCTATAATGCCATCACTCCAAGATAACTATCTTTTAAAAGTTGGGTATAGACCAGAAATTTACAGTTTGGAAATGTTAGCTCAGGTATCTGGCTTCTTGATTTCGTATTTTTACTGAACCATAGAAAATGGCCTTTTTATCCATATGCCTACAATTTTCACTAAAAATTTAATTTGCAGGAGGTATTTTGCAGTGGTTAGCATTCACTGAACATTTTAAGCATTGCTCTCTAATTTTTCCATGTAGAAAATAGTTGCAAGCCCCCACTTTATTTAGCTCTTTAGATCCCAAAACTTACTGTTTCCTTGGTAAGAACCATCATGTCTTAACTTATATGAGAGATAAATTTTATTATTTCTTAGGAGTTAGGCTTACTTCCTAGCTAAGTGTTTTGTTCCCTCACACTTGTTAGCAGCATATTTCTATTATGAGCCAATGTGCAAATTTTGGGGTTATTCATGATTATCAAAAGTGAGTATTTAAATTGCAAATCACAAGGGCTTACTAGTTAAGTTTTATTCAAGTACTATATAAAACTTTATTCCCAATATCTATAATAATAAAAGGTTAATATACCTAATTAGACCGTATGTCCTTCCTTACGAAGCTGGCCGGAGGGAAGCCAGCCCGTGTTGCGGGTGCCTGTGGGCAGCTGGAGGGAAGCCTGGGTCCCAAGTGCCAGAGGGAAGCCGATAACCACAGCCAGGGGAAGGAAGGCCTACTCTTGCACGAATTTTTGTGCATCACACCTCTAGTTTTATCAAAAGCATTTTTCAACCTAAATTCTCTTGATTTTTAAATTTTTACCTTTTCCTCTTCTCAGAATGTGTCCATTGGAATTGTTGGTAAAGACTTGGAGTTTACGATTTATGATGATGATGATGTGTCTCCATTCCTGGAAGGCCTTGAAGAAAGACCACAGAGAAAGTCACAGGTATATAACTAATTTTGACACAAGAGGCTTTAGTCGATAGTAAACTTGTTCCTTCTACAACTGTGTAAATCTACCATTTTTGTCTTTAACTATTGAGATAAGCTCATACTTCAAATGGCTAGGAAAACTAAGCTGAGTAAAGTAAAATACTGAGAGGGAATTGGTCTCCATAAACACAAAAAGGGTTGATTATATATTTTATATTTCTCACAATTCTATGGGTTGCCTGGGACTCAGCTAGATGGTTCTTTTGCTGGTCTCACTTGTGTCTCTATAACACATTGCAGTCAGTCCAAGATGGTTTTACTCACATGTCTTTACTCACACTTTCTAGGTATCTTACAGAGACAACTAGGAGGCTGGGCTCTCTGCTGGAATGGCTGGGCCTCTGCTCATGCAGTCTTGGGGCCTTTCTTTCCCAAGGGTCTCTTCAGCAGGGTGGCAGCTCAGAGTTTACAAAAATTTAAAAGCTTAAAAGTGAAAGCTGTTAGGCATTCTTAAGACTGAGGCCCAGGACTGGCACAGCATCACTTCAGCACATCTTGTTGGCTAAAGCAAGTCATAGGGCCAGCCAGGAGTTCATAGTAGTGGGAACAGAGATTAACTGGGGGCCAGCTTTGGAAACTAAGTTAGTTCTTCACAAATACTGGAAAGGATCAAGACATGTTGGTGAATCTCATATTAAATGTTGGTCTTCTATATTGGATATTTAGAATGCACATTTGCTATTTATATATGCTTATTTGCTATTGAAAATAAAGTGTCCTGTTCAGAAATTTCTTCTACAGCATTAGTTTCTTTTCAGTTTGAAAAGGATATTGTTGGCATTTGGAGAAGCAAGATTTGCATTATTGAAACTGCTATTGGAAGGCTTTAAATTCTTGAGCAAAATAAAATATAAAATGCTAGAATTGTTTGATGATGCTTAGGTTTTCAGAACTATGACACTATATATATATATAAAAAAATAACCTTTGTCTAGAAATTTCAACAGGACAATGAACTAAAACTGAAAATATACCTAACCCCTTTTCCTCATAGATTTATTTATAATGTAATATTGCTTATTTTCTTTTTTCTTCCTCTTAAGCCTGTTCAACCTGCTGATGAACCTGCAGAAAAGGCTGATGAACCAATGGAGCATTAAATGATAACCCCCAGTCCATATTTGTATTAGCAAGTGTGTAAGAATGCAGGAACATGTACTGATGACAGTAATCTATACTTGGACCCAAAAGGTGCAGTCTTGGAATGGTATGTTTTAGGAATCAGTCCAAATGTGAGGTTTGGAATTGCAAGCAGCTTCACTGAAACCATATAATGGAATGCATTTTTTTTTTTTTTTTTTTTTGGAAAGGGTCTCTATAATCATTTTCTAGAAAGTACATTTGCCTTTACTAATGTTTTTATATAAAGAACATAGTGTCTTTCTGGTTTTAAATACAACTGTGAAATAAAATTGTTTCACCTGCTGATATATTGTTATTGTTTTTTGTTTTTATTTTTTTTAAGTTTCAACTATATAAATAGTAGTCTGAGATTACATGTAGTCATTTACCATGTTTGTAAAATAAATTGCCTTATTTTTAGTGGTGGGGAAAAAAATACCTATTATCTATCACAGCCTTAAACCAATTTCCCAGTGTATGGACAGGCTGCATGAGAATTCATGGAGATTTGGTTTAGAATATTCACAGGTAAGTGGTGTGGTTATTTTTCCAACCAACAGATGGCAGTAGTGATAGCTCTGGTCTCATGTATGGAATTTTTTGCAACAGTAACAAAAGGGAAAATTTAATATGAAACCTTCATTTCTGCTTATCCTCCCTAGCCACATTCTGGCGCATAATCTTTAGTTTGCCTTTCATTATCCTGTGAGCTATAGAGCAAGATACAATACTGCAAAACAATTTTTATCTTTTAAGATTCATATCTTTTTGGAGGCAACTTGGACTTTAGACTTAATTTTACTAATTAGCTGCTATTGGCTTTGGACAAGTTATTTAGCCCTAATTAAGAAAATACTTTGGCCCTGAGCAGTTTTTTTCAGTGGTTAGAATGATGGCCCACAGACCAAAGGGTCACAGGTTCCATTCCTGGTCTAGGATGTATTCCTTGGTTGCAATTCGATTCCTAGCTGAGAAGCAACCAGTTGATGTATCTCTCACATCGATGTTTCTCTCTCTGTCTTTCTCCTCCCTCTCTTGTCTTCCCTCCTGCTCTCTCTAAAAATCAATGGAAAAAATATCCTCAGGTGAGGATTTAAAAAAAAAAAAACTTTGGAGAATTATTTTGAAGGATAAATCAGAGATTTTATCTGAAAATATCTTGTATATTAAACAATTTATTAAATTGTAGTTTAATTTTGTTCTAGGTTGCCCAAAACTTTTTTGTTTTTTTAATATTTTTATTGATTTCAGAGAGGAAGAGAGAGAAATATCAATGATAGAGGCCAGGTGTACAAATTTCATGCACAGGTGTGGCCCCTAGGCCTGATCCAAAGGTCCCCCTCCACCTGAGTCACAGCACCCATGTTCCCACATGGAGATGCGGTGAGGGTGGCTTGACACTGCAGGCTGAGGCGCATAATTCTGCTGCACAGAAGCCGAGTGGGCAGCATGCTCTCTCCCAGACCAATTCATGCGCCAACCCTGAGGAGCCCGACCAGTCCTGGTGGCAGTGGTTTGGCTCACCCAGAAGAGGCCATGCAGGTGTGGGGTAGGCTCCTTGTTGGCGTCCAGCACCTGAGCACAGGGCTTCCCCAGCATGCAAGTTCTGGCATCCTGGGGAAGGGTAGCGGGGAGTGAGAGTGAGCTTGGCAGATACCCCACATTCTCACCGAACCTCGCCGACCCCAAGTAGCCGGTGAAAGATCACAGTCCCCCGCCCAGCTCCCTCAGTTCCCTCTCTCCTCCAGGACTTGTGTGCTGGAGAAGTCCTTGTGCTCAGGTGCCGGGCGCCCATGAGTTGCTGGGTGGTGGCTCTGCCCCCTACCGCCACTGCTGGTCACCATTTGTGAGGTGATCGGTCCACTGCTTGCACCAGCCTTGGCCTGGTGCCACTCGATCACCTTCACCTCCAATCCGCCGCAGTCCCCCTCTCGGGGCCCAGGGGGCCAGCAGCAGCTATTCCATTTGCTTTCTGTTAATTATAATTCCTAATGTCTTTACATAGAAACTGTCACTTTGATATACAGATAATATTCAATTCACATGGAATTTATTAAGCATCTCTATGTGCGTCTTTGAAGAACTGGTATGGTTAAAAATAAGAGTCAATAAAATTGGTGGCAGGATCCAGGTTCTAGTCCCAGCTTTTGCAGTGTTTGGCCATTTTGCAATTTGGGATAATTCCCTTTTTTTCTAGGCCTTAATTTCCTAGACATGTAAATTTTTATGATTCTTGACATATGACCAGGTCCTTGCTCAAATAAATTATAATTTAAAAAGCATTCAAAATGATGTAATTACATGCTAGAGTAAAAAGTCCCCAAACAAAAATGCATGTTACAAGTCAGAAAGAGCCTGACTGGGTTTGGTTTGATTGTTGACCCAGGAACCAAGAGGTCACTGGTTTGAGACAAAGAGCACATGCTGGAGTTTTTAGCTTGATTCTGATCAATGATGTTCCTCTCATCAATAGTTTTCAGTTTGAAAGGAGGCAATATTTTTAAAAAATATATTTTATTGATTTTTTACAGAGAGGAAGGGAGAAGGATAGAGAGTTAGAAACATCAATGAGAGAAACATCGACCAGCTGCCTCTTGCACACCCCCCACTGGGGATGTGCCTGCAACCAAGGTACATGCCCTTGACTGGAATTGAACCTGGGACCCTTCAGTCTGCAGGCTGACGCTCTATCCACTGAGCCAAACCGATTTCGGCAAGATAATATTTTACTTGTGATTCTCTTAATATGAAGTTATGGAATACTGATTTTTGTTCACTTATTAAAGGTTTCTATTGAGGCCTATTTTTAAAGAAGGAAAAAGAAACCCTGTTTTATGGCATTTAAACTGATACCCTAATATATAAAAGCTCTGTGTGTTCATACTTACATATCATAGTAGAATGAGATAAAAATTAATGAATAAACTAATTGTTAGACCCCCAAAATACTTAAGGTTATAACTAGAAAGGTAAAGAACAAAACCTGTCCTATCTCTATCTTCCTCTTTCTCTAAAATTCAATCCAAGCATATTTTTAAAAAATAAATCAGGTAGAATTAGAGTATGTAAAGTTCTGCTCAACAACCTGTAGTTAAATATATACAACAATATAAACACTGCCTATGACAATTTTATGTGCAGACCTTAAATGAGGTTTTCTAGAACATTACTTTCTTGGCCTTTTTTCATATATATATTTTTTTAATATATTTTATTGATTTTTTACAGAGAGGAAGGGAGAGAAATACAGAGTTAGAAACATCGATGAGAGAGAGTCATCGATCAGCTGCCTCTTGCACACCCCCTACTGGGGATATGCCCGCAACCAAGGTACATGCCCTTTACCGGAATCGAACCTGGGACCCTTCAGTCCCCAAGCCGGCGCTCTATCCATTGAGCCAAACCGGTCCCGGCCCTTTTTTCATATTTAATAGTTTACTTAATTTAGTCCATGGTAAATCTGTAATACAATGGAGTCTCCAGGGCAACTGACGTAGGTATGATTAATATTACATCCTTGATATAACAAAATTATAGAATGAAGAACAGGTTAGTAATTGCCAGGAGTTACGCAGGGAAATGGCTGTGATTATAAAAGGATAGGAATGATTCTTGAAATGGAATTGTACCTTATCTTGATGTGGTGATCACATGAATCTAAACATGGTAACTAAATACACAAATGAGTGCATGTAAAATCGGTGAAACATGCCCTAGCCAGTGTGGCCCAGTGGTTGAAGTGTGGGCTTATGCAACGAAAAGGTTGGACCAGGACATGCGCTGGAGGCAATCAATGTGGTGTTTTGCTCCCCTTCCCTTTCTTCCATTCTCTAAAAATCAATGGGAAAAAAATTCCCTCAGGTGAGGATTAACAACAACAAAACTAGTGACCTGTATGGATGTCAATTTCCAGGATTTGTTATTTTACTATTATTAGATAAGGTATTATATCACTGGAAGAAACCAGGTGGAAAGTACATGAGATTTCTGTATGTCACTCTACAGTGATCTCAAAACAGTTTTTGTTTTTTTTTAATTAATGCAGCTCTAGCCAGTTTGGTTCCATGGATAGATCGTCAGCTTGTGGACTGAAGGGTCCTGGGTTCAGTTCCGGTCAAGGACACATGCCGGTGTGGCAGGCTCCATCCCCAGTGTGGGGCATGCAGGAGGCAGCCAATCAATGATTCTCTCTCATTGATGTTTCTATCTCTCCCTCTACCTTCCTCTCTGAAATCAATAAAAAATATTTTTAAAAAATAATTAAAAATTAATGCACATGGTTTAGGAGCACTCAGAAAATACTAAGATAATTTTAAGTGCAGACCTTAAATGGGGTTTTTGTGATATATTTTGGGTGCTCAACATTTTTTGCTTGATGGTTCCGAGGAAATATCAAAATTGCGTTCTAGATAGATGAAGCACTCTGCGTTCTAACTTCCAAACTGAGGTTACCTGTCAATAAGGGCAGGTTTTGTCAGACCTCTTTGTATTCACAATATATTGCTTCAGTCTTCATTTTTTTAAAAATTTGATAATTGGCCAAAAAACCCTTTTAGAGAGGGGCAAGGATACAGCACTTGCTATGGCTTGCTATAGCTGTATAAATTAGGTCTATATATTAAAGGCTTTTACCTTTAAAACAATGACTGTCAACCCATTTATGCATTAAAAAATTTATAATTTCCTGGGTGTTCAGAAAAGATCATGAAAGGGACCGTAACTAAAAAAAAAAAAAAAAAAAAAAAAAGACCAGAAATCACAAGTGTGATTCTGACGTCTAGCAACTCCAGCTTAAATGCAGAGACAAAGATTTAGATGTTAAGAACTGAAATGGATCTTCACATAACAGTGTTACTTATTAGAAAAACTTAAGTTACTGACCCGAATAATAATATTTTGTTATTTTCCCAGAAAAGGGTTTCCAGCTCCCAATCTTGTGCTCTTTTCCACTGGACCACACAACAGACCCCTGTCAAATGTGTGTGTCCGTCCCTCTCCAAACTTCCTTGCCGTGGCTGTTTCAATGCCTGGAATAAGAAACAAATCCTAAATAACGTTTAAATGGCCACAGCGCTTCATGCAGGCGTGTAGGGGAAACAATAAATACGTGTTTTCGAGTCCTTTTTGCGGCCTACACCGACCATGAACGAGGGAAGGGAAAGTTGGAGTGCCGGGCGCGCGCAGCCGCAGGACGGCGTGGCGTGTCCTCTCTGGGCCGCCGTAGGCGCGAGGTGGCTGGAGCCCGGGCCGTCTTCCCACCCCCTTCCACGTCAGCCAAGGACTCCGCGGAGCCGCCGCTGCTGCTGGGGGTTGGAGCCCTGGTAGACGGTCCCGCGGTTGCCCCAGCTGCTGCCCCCAAGAGCCAGGTAGCGGGCCACGAGCCCCCTAATCCCAAAAGGCGGGGCGGGCCGGGGAGAGTCGGGGGAGCGGGCTCTCTCTGGCGAGAGGCGGAAGGGGAGAGGCTAGGCCGCTGTGTCCGGGCCCGGCGAGGGGTCTGGGCAGCTCGGGGCCGGACGCCCGGTCCCGGCCTGCGAACCGGCCAGGGGTCCCCTCCCTCCCACCCGCACCGCCGCGGCCTCGCCGTTCCAGGCTGGGGCTCGCTTTGCCGGAAGAAGGGGACGGGGAAAGGGGGTGGGGGTGCAGCGCACGGATAGAGGGACCCACGGAGGCAGCGTCGGGTCCCACCGTTAAACGCGATGAAACAACCGAAGGTTTTAGCCGAGGGGTGGCGCTCGGGGTCTGTGAATGGGAGCCGATCGGAGTGTCCGCGACGTGGAATCCCTTCTGAGCCCTCCCTGGCGGGGCGGGGCCCGGCTCTGCCCCTGGACGGTGGGCCTGAGTCTGCGGGACCGCGTTCTAAACCTGGGGACAGCGGGGTTGTGGGGGCGGAAAAATACCCCTTTAGGTCGAAAATGACAGGTGTGTGATTTGTTTTGTTTTTTAAACAGTAGGCTCTGTTTTTGTGGGACCCGATATGGATGGATCCAGCCCTTCTGATCCTTCAAAGCTCATAAGCTAAACTGAATGAACTTTAGACAGTGAAGTTCACGGTAGTTACTGATTGTGCTTTTATTTTTCTACTTGTAATGATATCCTATTCTTGTGTTCGTTTTTCTAGATTTGTCTGGCATCTTTTATCCTCAAGTCTTGTCTCCAGGGTTGACAATCACCGGAAACCATGACGGCTGCTGAGAATGTGTGCTATACGTTAATTAACGTGCCAATGGATTCGGAACCTCCATCGGAGATTAGCTTAAAAAATGATTTAGGTAAACTTTGATGGTATTTTGGAAATGAAAAGCTCATTTGCACTTCAGGTTTCTTTATAATTAGACATGCATAATTTTTGCCTAAGCTTTTTCTAGGATCTCTTCAATAGACCTTTTGTCTTATTAAAAATGAAAACTTTTGTTACCTTTAGACGTACTGGTTTTTTGGAAATAAAACATCTCAGTCCAAGTTAGTAAAGCTAAAGAAATGTAATAATTTAGTTGTTAGATATTCCTAAAAATAATATAATGGCTTGTGTGGTTTAATATATGATGCTTTAATAAATCTGACAATTCTCTTTAGGTAACAGGTTGAAAGTGTGTATTTGAATGTCTTCATTCCTTTGTGCATGTAACTTCATATTACTTAGCTTGTAAAACCAAAAGAACTTTGTTTTCACCTGTTGACCAAATGAAGTCAACACAAGAATAAGAATACACATGTATTTTCTAGAAAGGTTTAAACTTTTTCATTTTTAAAACATACAGAAGAGAAAACAAGAACTATATTTCTGAATTTAAATGTGTACACCGTGTCTCATTTTTGTAATTCCGTAAAGAAAAAATTTAAGTAACCCACATTCCAAAATAATGATTCTTATTTAATTGAACTACTGAAAATAAGTTTAACTTAAACTGATAGCGACTGTTTAAAATAGAGTGAAAATTATGCTTCAGGTCTTGAAGGTATCTTTTAGGAAGATAATTTGCAGTTTGAAAAGAGACAATATTTTGTGTATTCTCACCTCTTAATAAGTAATAATGGAATACTTCCTGATTTTAGTTCACTTATTAGGTTTTATTGAGGTCTATTTTTGGAAAAGGAAAAAGAAACCCTATTTTATGGCATTTAAACTGATACCCTTATATACAAAAGCTGTGTGTGTGTGTGTGTGTGTGTGTGTGTGTGTGTGTGTGTGTGTGTTTTCATACTTACATAGTAGAATGGGATGAAAATTAATGAATAAACTTTAGTTATTTTTAGACCCCCAAAATATAGAAAGATAAAGAACAAAACCTGTCCTTAATTTTAAACAATACCCTTTTTAATTTCAGCTGCCTTGACTAACCTCTAACCAAAAGAGTTGCGATGAGAAAAAGTTTAGAAGTTTCCAATTTGAGTAACAAATACTTTTTGTTTGGTGAAATACTTAGTTGCTTTACCTACACTTTTCTTTAATCGCTCACTGGATATGTGCTCTGATGGCTGTACTTTCTCTGGAGTATGCAGTAATATTTTGGTGAATTGAACTGATATTTCAAGTTTCCATATCTTTTGGTAGTGCATAAAGTTTTGAAAATTTTGAAGATGTGAATAAAAGCATCCCCCTACTCAATTTGAATTGTTAAAATAATTGGAAATTGGTGTTGAGGAGGCTTCAAATATAAATGGTGTAGATTTTAATTTTTTAATTTTTATTTTATTTTTCTCAGAAAGGAAGGTTTGTGACAGAGAGGAAAACCTGTATTGTCAATACAACTTTGGCCACTTAGAATTCTGCCTAGTCTGTCTTATTTTCATGGATATAGTTATCGGCTACTGACATCTCTCCTGGTACTTTGTTTTGTCCTCTTCACAGACTTAACAACTCAAAGTTTGCCCAGATTGACACTCCATCCTCCAACATTTATTTCTTGACTTGATATGGCACATGTCAACATTTATTCATATATGGCAGGAGAAATAATACTCTGAAGCAGGGAGAGATGTATGAGAATTTAGTTAGTTTTAAACAAAAATATCTACCCTTGTGGGATAAATATGTTAATAACCCTCACTTAGTTTTCAGTTCAAATACCTGAGGATAATCTCTATTCTGCAACATGTTTAAATATCATACCAAGCTAGGATTAAATACTTAGCCTTTGGGGACTAGAATGAACTTTTGTTTCACCTAGTACAATTCTTTCAAAGTTTAAATCCTTTCTATAACTCTATCAACTGTAGTTTCTGTCTCTGGCAACAGCAAAGAACTGCTCTAAGTATTAGGAATTTATTTTTGTTTTGTTTTTTGCTCATGATAACTCAGGATTATTAAGTACCTTTGTCTTCCCTCTTTGTCCTTCTAGATATTGTTTATTTTTATGATCAAAACAATTGTAGCATTGTGCTTGTCTCTTACATTTCTGCCTTTAAATATTGGATCCAAAAGATGTACCATAAATTCTTTAGTATTCAAAGATAATGCTATAAACTTATAAATGGTTTTACATAAATTACTTTATAGTGAATATTTTTTTAGGCTAAGTAACAATAAACTAGCACCTTATCTTAAATGTGTTATCCTTAATTCTAAACAGTAGCTACTAATCTAGTACATTTTAATTTTTTTCAATTTTTAGGTAATTCCTTTAAGATTCTAAAATTTTATAGTCTGTAGGAATATGATGGGATCTTGGGGTTAATGTAGTCTTTAGTTCCCAATCTTTTTGAATTTGAGTACCACCAACATGTCAGTGAACCCTCCTTCCCTCAATAATGGCTGTAACTTTGGTTGACAAAATATATACAGACTAAAAACTACTTTGAATTCAGAAGCTCTTAATGGCACATATTTACATTGTGAAAAATAGCTGCTTGCATGTTTGAGACATACATTATTTAATATAACTATACACTTATGGTCTCTGTATTAATTCCATTGGTTAGGGACCGGAGATATAATCCGGTGCCTTCATATTATATCTAAAGAATCACAGATAAATCACCTGGGTAAAGTCATATAACTTGTTTGTGGCATGCCCAGATTGAGAACCCTTGTTATTTAGGTTTGTGCCTTTACTACCATTGTTGTTGATAAAGCGAGAAAATGGTTTTACTTTGTTAATTGCTATTGAAATTAAGAAATTTTCTGTTGAAATAATTATGTTTTACTTAAAATTTTTTAAATCAGAAAAAGGAGATGTGAAGTCAAAGACTGAAGCTTTGAAGAAAGTCATCATTATGATTCTGAATGGTGAAAAGCTTCCTGGACTTCTGATGACCATCATTCGTTTTGTGCTGCCTCTTCAGGATCACACCATCAAAAAACTACTGCTGGTATTTTGGGAAATTGTTCCCAAAACCACTCCAGATGGGAGACTTTTACATGAAATGATCCTTGTATGTGATGCATATAGAAAGGTAAACTAAACCATAATTATCTGTGAATAATACTTTGATTTTAGATAATTGTAGAACTGGTAGAGGGGCTTTATTTTACTTGTTAGGAACTGAAGTTGTAAGGAGTTACTGTAAAAAGTTTTATTGTTACTTTTTCCAGGCGTTTCCTATGCATTTTTATGTGTTGTTAATAAAAAGTGACATAGAATATAAGATAGTTGTTGTGACAAAAATTGCTTTCACTGATGAAAATGATGTGATAATCTAGGTCTTTCTCAAACCTATTTACTGATTTTTTTCTTGGAAATTTTTGCATTAATATATTATTTTTAATTCTGGAAGTCAACACTTTCTATTTAAATTTTTATATCAGGATCTTCAGCATCCTAATGAATTTATTCGAGGATCCACTCTTCGTTTTCTTTGCAAATTGAAAGAAGCAGAATTGTTAGAACCTTTAATGCCAGCTATTCGTGCATGTTTGGAGCATCGTCACAGCTATGTTAGAAGAAATGCTGTTTTGGCCATCTATACTATCTATAGGTAAATAAAGGTACTCCTTTGGCCTAGTTCTGTGAAGTGTTTCTTCTTTTACATTAGAGGTTCCAAAGTGATTTCTTACATATTGTATGTAGCTTGCATATGTATTTCATTTGGCCTAAATAAGATTTTTTCCCCTTATTATCATTAAGTTGTCAACATGAGAAGTCAAAAGATCTGGCAACACTGGGTCCTAGTTTCTGTATGATAGCAATCGGCTGAAATTCAGTGATAAGTAGCCCCCTTTTAAACAGGTTGTACATTTTCCAATTTATGACAATGCCTGTCTTTCTCAGTTGTATTACTCCAGCCTACTTAATTTATTAACTTAGCTCTTAAAGGCTTTTTGACTGTTTTAGAATTCTCTTTTTGTGGAATGTGGGTCTTTTTACCCTTCCTTAATGGCCTTAAGGAGGGAACTTTTTTAGGAAGGATTGCAATTCTCAACTAATTCCTCTTATTAGAAAGCTGAAGATTTTGAACTTTAAAAACATTCAAAGAACCAGTTAGATGAAGCTAGAATGCTTGGTTTTTATAATCACTGGTTTCATTCCATTAGAAGTCAATCCATTAGAAGTAGAATGTAATTTTTATAAATATCTTTGTACTTTAATAGTTGATTATTATATAATTTTATACTTCTTTTACTGTCATGTAGATTTGGTTATCTGTTAGGGAAAGTGGTATTGTGGTTATTAATGTAGAGTTTCTTACCATACAGACTACACAAATTTCAGTATTTAAACTACCAATGCATGCACAAAAATTATGCCATTAAGACAATTGGAAATTTAAACACTAGCTATATGATGGTATTAAGGTATTGTTAAAATTTTAAGATCTGATAAGGGTATTATGATTAGTTTTACAAAGAAGGAATTCTTAATTTTAGAAAACAAACCAGGGTATTCAAAAAAATGTATACATATACATTTTAACAGTTGATTCTATTACACTTTGAAAATGAAATGTATTTTAATAAATACTGCCTTTCTAGTTATACAAAGTATGTGTACATTTTTGACACCCTTGATTTACAAAGAAATTATAAGTGGTCTGGGATTTGCTTCAAAATAATATGGAAGGAGAGGAAGTGGGGAGGGGTATCTGTGTAACAAAAATGGTTGTGAATGGTCGAAACCGGTTTGGCTCAGTGGTAGAGCGTTGGTCTGCGGACTGAAAGGTCCCGGGTTCGATTCTGGTCAGGGGCATGTACGCTGGTTGCGGGCACATCCCCAGTGGGGGGTGTGCAGGAGGCAGCTGGTCAATGTTTCTCTCTCATCGACATTTCTAGTTCTCTATCCCTCTCCCTTCCTCTCTGTAAAAAATCAATAAAAAATATATATATTTAAAAAAAAATGGTTGTGAATGAATAATTCTTGAAGTTAGCTAATAGCTTTTAATAAGCCAGTGTTTATTATTCCGTTAGAAATACTTAAACTTTTCCAAAATAAGAAATCAGTAAGTAAATAAGTTAATAAATATAGTGTATAACTAATAAAATTCAAGGGATCCTTTTTTTTCTCTGATAATTCTTAAAGAATGATCTTTAAGTATCTTGAAGATGTTATCATGAGCATTAATATTTTATTCCTAAAGTATATGAAAAGCAATTACTTGAGATAGTGAGTTGACAGATTACATGCTAAATAAATTAGCTTTTTCTGTATTGAACTATGAAAGAATAATTTGATACATTAATAAAGATGTAAGCTTGTGATTCCTACCCACAATTTTCTAATTGATTTAAAGTTTTAAAAAGCAAAACAATGATACTGTTACAAAGTTTGATAAAGATTAATTTTGGTAGTGTTCATAGAGTTGTAAAATAATAAAGTAGGATTTTATTAAACATGGATATTGTTTTATTTTAAGAAATTTTGAACATCTTATACCTGATGCCCCTGAACTGATACATGATTTTCTGGTGAATGAGAAGGATGCAAGTTGCAAAAGGAATGCATTTATGATGCTAATTCATGCAGATCAGGTAAGTACTTAAAAAAAAAAAAAACTTTTATAACTGTACTTAAGTGAGAATTAGAAGTATTATAGCCCAGCCCTGTTTGGGGATACCCTCTATTTACAAAAGAAATGATAAGTAGTCTGAGATTTGCTTCAAAATAATATGGGAGGAGAGGAAGTGGGGAGGGGTATCATTGTAACAAAAATGGTAGTGAATAATTCGTAAAGTTAGGGAATAGTTTTTAATAAAGCCAGTGTCCCAGATTCCATTCCAGTCAAGGTCATGTACCTCGTTTGCAGGCTCCATCCTGGCCAGGGACCTTGGTCGGGGTGCATGCAGGAGGCAACCAGTCGATGTGTTTCTCTCACGTTGATATTTCTCTCTGTCTTTCCCTCTCTCTTCTACTCTCTCAAAAATTAATGAAAAAATATCCTAGGGTGAGGATTTAAAAAAAAAAAAAAAAAAAAAGTATTTCAGCCCAGCTGATGTGGTTCAGTGGTTAAGTGTCAACACATGAACCAGATCACAGTTCTCTTCCCCAGTTAAGACACATGCTTGTGTTATGGGCTCAATCCCCAGTAAGGGTGGGCAGGAGGCAGCCCATCAATGATTCTGTCTCACCATTGATATTTCTATCTCTCCCTTCCTCTCTCTGAAATCAGTAAAAACATTTAAAAAACAAGTATTACATAGGCCGAATCCTGTTTTTAGACAGTAATTTTATTTGTAGTATGTAATTTGTATATTTTTATTTTTTTTAGATTTTTAAATTTAATTTGTATAAAAATACAGTGATTTTCCTTCTCTGGAATATTGCTTATATATATTCTTTTTCAAAGTAAACATTTAACAACAACCACTTTACAGGTTTTCCAGATTGAAATTATGGTCATATTCTGTGGTCTTTTACTTTGGGGCTTTGATGTCTGTTTTTCCTTCTCTTGGTGTAGATCTAAAATTGTTTAACAAAGAAAACAGTAGCTTTGTATAAGATCCACCCCGAGCCATGTCTGTGAAAGAGGGGTATGTTCTTATAGACTTCAAATTTCATGAGTGAATATCAAGTCTACATCCAGCTCTGCTGGTGGTTAAAGTATATGGATCTGCTGGTGGCTAGCAGTGACTTTGCAATCTTGGTGGCATCTAATCTTGGAATTTTTGCTATCCAGTATTTATCAAAATGTGGGAAATATGCATGAAGATTAAAAAATACAGTCGTCTCTTTCTCTGAAATTTAGTTATTGCTGTTTTCGTAAATAAAACTATAAGAAAGCTACCTATTTAGGTCATAATGTTTCGTCCTCATGTAGAGTTGATTTAGTGATGTGTTTTTGGTGATACCTACATGAAGAGATATAATCCAAAATAGTTCGATAAAATTTGTTGATACTTTTACTGTAGAGATATTGTTGAGGCCATAGTTCTCTATATCAGTGTTTGATATATGAGAATTGATGAGATTTTTCTTATTGATCTCAGAAATAGGAAGAACTATACTCCAAAGTAGCTGGTTTATTTTGATTGTATAAATCCCTGAATTATATACCCTGAATACATAGTATTTTTCTCCTTGGTTAAACTGCAAGAAAATTCAGACCCAAGATTTGTGACCCATTTCTAGAACATATATTTGATTTTATGGCTTATATTTATATTTTAATTTTCATTAGTTAATTTTTCTTTGCCCTGATTTCCTCATTTGCTTTCTATTTAGTTGTGTATGTTTTTTTAAGTTGCATTAAGTCCTTTAATTAAATGAGGTGGAGTTTGATAAATATATTCTTATTTTTTTAGGATCGAGCTTTGGATTACCTAAGTACTTGTATTGATCAGGTTCAGACATTTGGAGACATTCTTCAGTTGGTTATTGTTGAGCTAATTTATAAGGTAAGACTGATCAATGATGGGTAAAATAAACTTGAACAGTTTAAGATAAGGTAAAATAGTCTTTCTAGAAAGCTCTTTAATTGTTAGGATAATACATTTTAACTAGAGGCCCGGTACACGGATTTGTGCACTGGTGGGGTCCTGTGGCCTGGCCTGTGCCCTCTTGCAATTGGGGATATCTCGGAGGATGTTGGACTGCTAGTTTCAGTCCAATCCCTGTTGGCCAGTCTCTTAGGCTTTCTCACATACACACATACACACACACACACACACACACACACACACACACACATATACATACATACATACTAGAGAAAGGCCCAATGCATGAAATTCATGCAAGGGGCTCAGCCCTTGGTAGTGGCTTGCCTCAATCCTCACAGCCATGGTTTTGTCCAGAAGGTTGTCCTGAAGCTTGTTCTGCTGTCCGGTCTAATTAGCATATTACGCTTTTATTAATATAGATAGACACAATGTCTCATCCCAAGTTGGTTGTCATCTTCAGATGTCTTGATAAGACTATACTTAGCTTTCAAGTTAAGAAAACTAGCATCCCATAAGCATGGATTATTTTTAAAAATATATTTGAAATTAACTGTCCATGAAATTAGTTGAAACCTAAATGCTTTCTTCTCCAGGTCTGTCATGCTAATCCGTCAGAAAGGGCTCGTTTTATTCGCTGCATCTATAACTTATTACAGTCATCTAGTCCTGCTGTAAAATATGAAGCCGCTGGAACTTTAGTGACTCTCTCCAGTGCACCGACTGCAATCAAGGTACTGATTATTTATTTTGGTGCCAGTTAGATTATAGGCACTCTGTCTTGTCGCTTATGATTTAGTGATATTGAAGTTTACTATGTGGTTACATAGCATGGCATGACATAGAGATAACAGCTACAAATTTCATATAAGAAATTATTTGATTACTTATGTAGTCTGACTTTCCTTCTCCCTTCCTGTTTTCATACATAAATACATGGAGAGAACGAGAGATAGAAAATACCAATATTTCTAGTTTCAGGAGAATGGTTCTGGTGTTTTAAACTATCTCCCCATATTTTACACTGAAACTTAGATCTGGGAGATTGAATTCTGGATCCTAAATGATGGGTGCTAAAAAAGATTCCAGTAAGTATGTTCAGTAATGGGATATTATCTTTCTTTTTTAGTTTATTATATCAAGACTATATAAGGAATCCCTACTATATTCAGAGAATGAATTATTCGAGAAAGCCATATTGTATAAATAGGAGAATTTACTGCTATATACACCAATACTTTAAATTATTAAAAGACTTTTTTTTAATATATTTTATTAGTTTTTTATAGAGAGGAAGGGAGAGAGAGAGAGAGTTAGAAACATTGATGAGAGAGAAACATTGACCAGCTGCCTCCTGCAAACCCCCTATCGGGGATGTGCCCGCAACCAATGCACATGCCCTTGACTGGAATCGAACTTGGGACCTTTCAGTCCGCAGGCCGACGGTCAATCCACTGAGCCAAACTGGTTTTGGCTAACAGACTCTTTATGTTAAAATTATTTAAAACTTACAGAGAAGTTTCAAAAATAGGACAAAGTTCCCATTATCTTTCATCCAGCTTCCCGTAATGTTCATGTCTTACATAATAATTGTATAATTTATCAAAACCAAGAAATTGGAATTGGAACAATATTTTTATCTAAACTATAGACTAATGCACTTTTTCTTTCCCAGGGTCTAGTCCCGGCTCCTACATTATACTTAATTGTCATATGTTAGTCTCCTCCAATCCCTTACAGTTCCTCAGCCCGTCCTTGTTTTTCACGATCTTGAAACTTTTGAAAAGTATTGAGTTATTTTGTAAAATATCCCTCAATTTGGGTTTGTCTTGTGTTTTTTCATTATTATGGTGAAGCTATACATTTTGGGAGGAGAATACCACAGAAGTGATGCTCCCTTCTCAGTATCAGAAAGGAGTACATGATGTTGATATACCTTATTAATGGTGGTGTCAGTTATGGTGGTAGCTGCCAGATTTCTCCACTGTTAAATTATGATTTTTTTCTTTCACAATTAATAATATCATGGAAAGATACTTTGAAACTGTGCATATAGTTTATTTCTTTTCCAGCGTTGCACCAACTAATTTTAGCATCCATCAATGGACCTTTTCTACACCAGTTATTACTGATATTTTAATGGTGATTTTCTATTTCCCTCTTTCTGCATTTACTAATTGGAATTCTGCAAGGAAGAGTTGTCTCTTCTCCTTCCTCTGTCTTTCCTTTCCTTTTTTCTTTATGTCTATAAGGACATTTTACTGCATGGAGTATAATCCAATATTATGTTTTCATTTATCTTGTTGATCAAATTGTTCTAGATCCGTGGACAGCAAACTGTGGCTCATGAGTCAAATGCAGCTCTTTGGCCCCTTGAGTGTGGCTCTTCCACAAAATACCACAGCCTGGGCAAGTCTATTTTGAAGAAGTGGTGTTAGAAGAAGTTTGAGTTTAAAAAAATTTGGCTCTCAAAAGAAATTTCAATTGTTGTACTGTTGATATTTGGCTTTGTTGACTAATGAGTTTGCCAACCACTGTTCTAGATCATTGGGAGCTCTTGGAGTTTTGCTCCTCTGCTTTTCATAACTCAGGGTCATCTTAATATTCTTGATTTTTCTGCAATATAATGCAAGTGCTCCTAAAGTAAAAGGTGCTTAGTAGCTATAATTTTGGAGATTGTTAATTTGCTTTTTTTCTCCCTTGTTCCTTAATATCAATCTTTTGTTTTTGGTTAATAAGTAGCCTATAGCAGTCCCTTTTTATCCTTTTAACTTCTGATGCTTTTAATCTTTTGTAAACTTGAAAAACAATGAGATTTATTAGAATTTAGGGAATAGAAGGACATATTCCTTTGGGGAAAAAATGCATAAATTTTTAATGTGGAAATAGTGAATATATTTTGGCTTCTTGGGATTTGTTTTCTTATTTTCAGATTCTATGTTAAAGATATGTTCTTAAATGTATTTCTTTTTTACATAGGCTGCTGCTCAGTGTTACATTGATTTAATTATTAAGGAGAGTGACAACAATGTAAAGCTCATAGTTCTGGATCGATTGGTCGAATTAAAAGAGCATCCTGCTCATGAACGAGTACTACAGGTAATTATTGTTTAAAAGAGAAATCTTAAATAAAATATTTTTCAAATTGAGATAATTTTCAAGCCTTGCCATCTTTATTAGCTTCAGTGCTTGGAGTCTGGTGGTGTCATTTAGCTTGTTCCTTAGACTTCTGTATTTCTTATAAATTCTCAGATTTGATCTGAAATTTGATAGAGTCAGAGTAAACATTTTCAGTTTGAATACATTTTATGTGATAGTGTATATTTCATATCGCATCCTTTCAAGAGACCAAAAATATCTGGTTCTTTCACCACGAGTGATCTTATTGTTGATCAAAGAATTAAGGTGATGAACTGTACCCTCCATTCTTCTGTTAAGATTTTCTTCTTGTGACTAGAAATATTGTTGTAAATTCTGGATTTTTTGTTCTTTTTCAGGATCTGGTTATGGACATCCTAAGAGTATTGAGCACACCAGACTTAGAAGTACGCAAGAAAACTCTGCAGTTAGCACTGGATCTTGTCTCTTCTAGAAATGTTGAAGAGGTAAGACAGAACTGACAGCAGTTTGTAATCTCTGAGGCCATACATGTTGTAATTCTTGCTTATTTTTACTTTATTTGATAGCTGGTTATTGTCCTGAAGAAAGAAGTGATTAAAACTAATAACGTGTCTGAGCATGAAGATACTGACAAATACAGACAACTCCTTGTGCGAACATTGCATTCCTGTTCTGTCCGATTTCCAGATATGGCTGCAAATGTTATTCCTGTGGTATGTGATTCTGAGTACCTTACTTTTGAAATTCACTAAAAGAATTTCAAGAATTCTATTCAATAGTTAAATACTAACTCTTAAACTCAGAGGAATAAGGACTTTGACTTTTTTCTCTTCATCAAAACAACAACAAATAACAGTGACAAAAATATCTCCATATATGATTATAATTGATGTTTGTTATAGTTACCTGAAGTATAATTTTTAATATATACTTATATATACATATATACATACATACACACACACACACACACACACACACATATATATCATCTAGTAGGGCAAGTTAAGTATTTCTTTCAAAGTCTTACCTCTTGAAGTTAAAGGATTCAGTTATAGAAGAAATGTTTTCTCTCCTGTTAGATTGATGAGGTATGTTATTGTAATTTGAAATTTTGCCATTGAGCTCTGAATTTTTTTTTTCCAAAATGATTTTACTTTTAGTTACAGTGTAGGAGGATTCAATTAATTTTTGCTGCACATAAAACAGAAGTTCGTGACTGTTTACATTAATGGTGCTTATCTCTCAACTTGCAGTTTGTTATACATTTGAAAGTTATTAATACATACTTTGCACATTTACTTAATTTACTTAAACCTTACTAAAAATTGCTTAAGGTAATTAAATGGTAAGTTTAAATTGTTAATCCCTTTTCCTTTTTTTTCCTAGTTAATGGAATTTCTTAGCGACAGTAACGAAGCAGCAGCTGCTGATGTCTTGGAGTTTGTTCGTGAAGCCATTCAGCGCTTTGATAACCTGAGAATGCTTATTGTTGAGAAGATGCTTGAAGTCTTTCATGCTATTAAATCTGTCAAGTAGGTTTAAAATCTGATTAAATGTGAAGTCGAGTAAGCATTTTACCAATATCTGTCTTTAAAGAGCCAGTTGATATAAAATATAAGACTGGAAAGATGATACAACAATCAAGACAAAAATAAGAATGACAGTAAATATTACCTTATACCCACCCTTGGTAGATCCATTATCTGTGGCTAATTTTTTTTTTATAGTTGTGGTGATTTATCTAGATTTCTTTATCCTTATTTTCTTTAAAACATTGTGAATCCTAAAGTGACATAAGAACATATTTTTTAAAGGTATTACTTTTTAGATATCATTATTATTTATATTCCCTTTATCATTTATTGACATGAAGGATGGCAAATGCAACCTAAATCTGATGTGTTTCTTCAGATGGCCTTTACTAATGAGAAAGGATTTTGTCATCAAATTTTGTTTGATATAAAGCATCTGATAGACTATAACAGACTTGCATTATATCTGCATAGGTGGAAATAAGGGGCCATTACAAAGTTGTTTTCTGATTGAAAGTGTATTGACAATTGTGGAAGTGAGAAAGATTTGCTTTCTTTGTGAGGGAAAAAAAATCAAAGTTTTGCTTTTGGCAGTCATGATCTCTAGAATTTTTCAGTTTCTAGGATTTTTTAAAAAGTGAATTTAATGAAAATCTTAGGGAAATAATGACTAAAGACTTTATTTTAACATTTTTAACTAGAAAATTGTTGCTTTTTTGTTGTTGTTATTGATCCTTTTTTACTCCTTCCTTGCTCATTGCTTTTGTCAGCATCCTGCCTGTACTTTTCAATGACTACAAATAAAAAGTACTTTTTACATTAAAAAGAACAAATTTTTATAGTAGTAAGTGATAAGATAAACTTTTACCTTAACTCTGTTGTAAATGGAAGCTATCATCTCTCTGGGAAACATTTTGGGTATCTTATTTTTACTACTGGTTTACCAGTCTTAAGATTTTCCTACTAATGATAGATGAGGGCACTTATTTTTCTTTTAATGTTTGTGATTTCTGGGAGAATTAAAGAAACTTAGTATCTTTGCTATATTTCTTAAAATATCATTCATGATCCCTTGGAAGTATAGAATCTTGTTTTCTTGAGCTTAAATTCACAAAGAAAAATTGCTTCAAGATTCGTTGACAAATCAGTGTTTCAGAACTTGTATTCTTGCTTTAGGATTTACCGAGGAGCATTGTGGATCCTGGGAGAATACTGTAGTACCAAAGAAGACATTCAGAGTGTGATGACTGAAGTCCGAAGATCTCTGGGAGAGGTATGTTTTACTTTCATAGTAAATGCTGTTTTATTTGGTGATTTTTACTTTAGTTCTTCTGACTTTTTTTTCCTTTTCATTCTGACTTGTATGTGGTGTTTTCAATCTGACTTGTATGTGCTGTTTTTATCTGGACTAATGAACACTGGAAAATATTTTTTAACTACCCACATAATTAAGCCTTGAGAGCTGTGGGAAATTTGGGGTTACCCCTCCCCTGTGTTGTGCTGTAACACCTATTGCTTTATCTGTATTATTTACTCTTCCAGGAAAGATTTTATGTGAACAGAAGGTTCTATATTTTAGAAAAGGACTTGTAAAACTCTGCTTTAGTCTATGTGTTCTAAAAGAAGAATGCAAATATTTTAAGAACAGGGCGGACTTTATATTATAGTATTTATGTACTAAAACTGGCAATATTTCCTCATTCAAAAAACCATATGAGCAAATAGAAAGAATAGTGCTTTTTAGAACACCTGGGTTCCAATCTTGCTTCAGCCAATAATTAGATATAAGTTCTTTAACCTGATTGTATATCAGGTTATTTTAAAATAAAGGAATTGATGGATAATAATTGAAGACTTTTACAGTTCTTAAATTAAACTGGCTGATATTAAGGAATACATGCATAGTAGCCATTTGCGTGCTTTTAAGAAAGTAGTTGATGAAGTTATTTTGTAAAACTAAGATTAATTTTAATTTTTTTTAAAAATATATTTTATTGATTTTGTACAGAGAGGAAGGGAGAGAGATAGTGAGTTAGAAACACCGATGAGAGAGAGTCATCGATCAGCTGCCTCTTGCACACCCCCTACTGGGGATATGCCCGCAACCAAGGTACATGCCCTTGACCGGAATCGAACCCGGGACCTTTCAGTCTCCAAGCCGACGCTCTATCCATTGAGCCAAACCGGTCCCGGCTAATTTTAATTTTTTAAATATATATTTTTTTATTGATTTCAGAAAGAAGGAGGGAGTGATAGAGATAGAAACATCAATAATGAGAGATAATCATTGATCGGCTGCCTGCTACATTACCCCCAACTGGGGATTGAGCCCACAACCCAGGCATGTGCCTTGACCAGAATTGAACCCGGGACCCCTCAATCTGCAGACTGATGCTTTATCTACTTAACCAAAGTGGCTAGGGCAGATTTATTTTATTTTAGGAAGATGAAGGCTCTTTTAATTAGGGAAGGATGGAGAATAATAAGAGTATTTATTTTGGCCAAACCGGTTTGGCTCAGTGGATAGAGCATCTGCCTGTGGGCTGAAAGGTCCCAGGTTCGATTCCGGTGAAGGGCATGTACTTTGGTTGCGGGCACATCCCCAATAGGGGGTGTGCAAGAGGCAGCTGATCGATGTTTCTAAATCTCTATGCCTCTCTCTTCCTCTCTGTAAAAAATCAATAAAATATATATTTTTTTAAAAAGAGTATTTATTTTGTCTTAGACACTGTCCTAAGCATTTTCTTACTAAGTGACTTGTGGGGAAAGAATTAAGATTTGCATTTAGCAGATTAAGTACCTAAGGCTCTTAAGTCATTTAATTAATTTACCCAAAACCATTACAACAAGGAAGAGGCATCTAATCACAAAGCCCCTGTCTTCTTAATACAATATTATGGGAAGGGAAAAAAATAGAGAGTTTCAAGTTCCAAATATCCCATTAGGGAAATGCCTTCTCTATGGAAATGATTGAATATTTAAATGTGATTTTGCTTGCTATTGATGTTTTCAATTTATTTTTAGATCCCAATTGTAGAATCAGAAATAAAAAAGGAAGCTGGTGAATTAAAACCTGAAGAAGAAATAAATGTGGGGCCAGTTCAGAAATTGGTAACTGAGATGGGCACCTATGCAACTCAGAGTGCTCTTAGCAGTTCTAGACCCACCAAGAAAGAGGAAGAAAGGTAATTTGCAGCACTTACCGGTAGGCTCAGCCAGCTCTGCTGTTTTCATTACTCTTGTGTATAAAACACTCAAGTGATTTCTTTTCTCTTACTTTTGTGACCAACATGGAAATCTTTGCCATTTAAGATACTTGAAAGGTAAAGGATACTTAAGTTCTTTCTTTCAAGAATCATGTTGATGGTTTTAATCCTCTGCTTTTTATAAGTATTTTCATAGAATTAACTGTGTTCTGCTTAAAATTATTTTACTCATACAGAAAATACTAAGTTGAGGTAACTTTTAGAAAACATTTTGAAAATTTTTCTACTTTTAACTGATGGAATAAAATTTTGATGATTTCCTCATTTTACTCTCTAGTTTTATAGTGAAGAGGATGAAATTAATGCCTAAAATTTTAAAGATTGCTTATTACATGCTGGGCATTGTGCTATGTACTTTGCCTCATATAATCTTCACAGCAACCCATTAAGTACATTACTGTCCCATTTTATAGAACAAGGATTTGAACCTTGAATAAATTTGTAATTCACCCTAAAGGGTGAATTAGTAAATAAATAAGTACTGTAGATAAACTGGGATTTGAACATAGCTCATTAGTTCGAGTACATACAACCTTCCCCATTTTCTCTTTATACTCAGCTGCTTCCTGTATCATTTAAAGATAGGTTTAAATTCATTTGTTATTTTCTTTTTCTTTTTCCTTTAGCTTCATTCTGAGAGCTAAGAAGGGAGCTAGTTGAGATTCTTATCACTGAAGGATGGCGCGAGAGTGTTAAATAGCCTTATTTGAATCATGCCAAAGCTGCATGCTGTTAAGAAGTTGTTGGATTTCATTTTCCCTGATTGCTTTGCAGACCTCCCCTGAGAGGATTCCTGCTGGATGGAGATTTCTTTGTCGCTGCCTCCCTTGCCACAACATTGACCAAGATTGCCTTGCGCTATGTAGCTCTGGTTCAGGAGAAGAAAAAGCAAAATGTAAGTCCACTTATTCTACATTTACCCAACAAGTGAACATTGAGTGCCTACTATATGCATTGAGCTGTGAGGGACCCAAAGGGAATGCCTAAAGATCCTGTGGTTTATTGGGGGAAATAGGCACAGTGATGTGATGCTGCTGTGAAATTGTTGAAGTGATACAGTAATAATACCATGTGATTAGTCCAGTGGAAGAGATATAAGGATTTATGAATTAATTTCTGTTTGCTAGAATTAGTTAAGACTCAGTGAAGAATAAGCCTTTATCCAGTATCTTCATCCAGTCAGTCATTGCCTATTTTATCCCAGAAATATCTCCTGAATATATTGCCATTTCTATAGTTCATAACCTTCATCCTAGCTTCTGACCATTCTGACTGGGTGCTCATTTAAAATAATATATTCCATTCCCACAGCCCCTACTACCATCCTTTGTACTACTATTGTACATTTTATTTTTACATGCATATTATCCTATGCTGCATTTTTGACATTTTTATTATTTTTGCATTAAATAGTTATCTTTTTTATATGTATGCACTGTTTTGTTTTGTTTTGTTTTTCCTAACCATTTCTTATTTATCTGGTAGGGAGAGGGCATACTTAGCTAATAGTAAGAAGTTGAGAGTTGGGAACAGGGCAAAAGTTCATTTACCTTCCTAGATGCCCCCATTTTTTGGATATTTTTTTTTATGGTAAAATCTACATAATGTGAAATTTACCATTTTAACTATTTTTAAGTGTTCAGTGGCATTAAGAGCATTCACACTGTGGAGCAGTCATTACCACTTTCCATTTCCAAAACTGTCTATCATCCTGAACTAACAGTGTACCCAATAAACAATACTTCCCCATACCTCCTTCCCAGCCATCGGCCACCACTCTTCTACTTTCTTCCTCTATGAATTTGCCTATTCTATATACCTCATGTAAATGGAATCATATAATATTTGTCTTTTTGTAACTGGCTTATTTTGCTTAGCCTGATGTCTTCAAGCTTTATCCATATGATAGCATGTATCAGAATTTCCTTCTTTTTTAAGGCTATCCATACAATATTCTTCTCTTTATCTGTTCTCCTGCTGTACATAGTCAATTTTTTTAAATGAGAAAAAGTCTTATATTTACCCACATAATTCCTATGTGAATGATTTTATTTTTGTTCATTTCTTTTTTCACATTTCTAAAAGAAATAGGAGGTAATAACTAATAAGAAAAATATTACTCATTAGTTAAGCACTAAAGTACAAATCTTGTTAATATTGAGGTGGAGATAGAAACATCAAAAGATGGAATTTCGTTACCAGATAGAAACAAAAATCCTTCCTTCCTCCAGAAAGAGTTTAATATGGTTTTCATCTGTGAAACCATTTTCCTCTAGTGTGATAATTTCACATTTTATAAACCACATTTTCACCTAACATTATAACATTTTTCCATTTATTCTAAACCCTTCCTAATCATCCTATATAATGAAAGGCTGATATGTAAATTGAACAAATGGCAAAATGACCGAGCACTGACCACCAGGGGGTAGATGTTTAATGCAGGAGCTTCCCCCTGGCGGTCAGTGTGGTCCCACACACAGTGCAGCTCAGCCAGAAGCTAGGCTCACAGCTGGTAAGCGCAGCGGGAGCCTCACCTGCCTCTGCAGCAGTGCTAAGATTGTCCCACTGATGGCTTAGGTCTACTCGCTCCCTGAGGGAGTGGGCTTAAGCCATCAGTCTGACATCCCCAAGGGCTCCCGGACTGCGATAGGATGCAGGCTGGGCTGAGGGACCGCTCTGAGTCCCTCATGAATCTTGTGCACCAGGCCTCTAGTAATAATTATAATATTTAATAGCTGCATAACAATCCATTAGATTTCTTCATTTACTTATGCCTACATATAATTAGACATTTTCACTTTAGACTTGGGGTTTTCAAAGGATTTTTTTTAACTTTCATTATTATAAGAGCCATTAATGATATTTAGAGGATCAGGCAAATTACAAGGTATATTATCTCTTTTTTTATCTGTTTATTTAGATTTAGAGGCAATAATTTATTTTACAACTCTGTAGGCCATTATTTTTTCAGGTCTTGTCACAGAATAATTATCTATTATTTAAATTATGCTTTTTAAAAGTCTCCAGGATTCTGTGTCTCTGGATCCAATTAGGTTTTCTCTAATAGAAAGGCTGCTTCAGTTCTGCAGTTTGGGAGAGCATTTGCTGATAGCTGAGAGAGCCAGGTTTCTGGTAACATATTTGGTTCATGAAATTTGCTGCATTTGGTACAAGGCAGGTAGAAGTTTGGTTGTTTATCATCACACTAGCTCTCCTTCATTTATGCATTTTCCATTGCTCTTCATTGTTTTGTGTAGAGCTGAGTTTCTCTCTGTATTATATAACTCTGCCTAAAGAATTTGCTTCGGTTTTTCTTGTACTGCAGGTATGTTGGGAGTGAATTTTTTTAGTTTTTGTTTGTCTGAAAAGGCCTACTTCATTATTGAAAGATATCTTTGTAGGTATAGATTTCCGTTAAGCATTTTTTTCTTTTAGTACCATCAAGATGTTGCTCCATTGTCTTCTGGTATTCTCAAAGAAGCCAATGTCATTCTCATGCCTATGCATGGAATGTGTCCTGTTTTCTCTGGCGGATTTTAGATTTTTTTCCCCTTATCGCCAGGTTTCAGTAATTTAGTTAAGATGTGGCTTTGTGTGGTTTTCTTCATCTTTACTTTGCTTATGCTTCTATTTTTTTCTGTTCTCTCCTCTTTCCTCTCCTCTGGTGACAGTATCCAGGATCAGAGGATTATTATACTTATTTTTTAGCTTCTTTCCCAAGGCTTCTGATAGTTTTTTCATGTATGTGTACTAATCAGTACTTAACCAAAGACAATTTGGCAATGACATAGAGCATGTGTCAGGTTAATGCTACATAAAACTGAAAAAGTACTTTGGATTCACTTTGTGGAAGACTTTGAATAGCAGGCTAAGTCATATGGATTTCAATATGAAGGCCCAGGGAAGTCATTGAAGGTATTCACATGTAGTGAAGTGATTGGTGTACATACAATAAGGATTAAGATAGCAGTACCAGGTGATCATACTTAGTGTCTCCAATAATGAGACAACCTAACTTATGTGCCTCCTGTTGCAATACAAAAGAAATACAAAACATCACCTATCTGTTATCTAACCAGGAGTAGGGAGCATTTTATAAAAAACTGGCCTGGCCTCTTTTTAAAAGTTATTGTGTACCTGGCCAGGTAGCTTAGCTGGTTAGAACATCATCTCGATATGCCAAGGCCGTAGTTTCAATTCTCACATACAAGAATCAACCAATAAATGGAACAACAAATTGCTGTCTCTCCCTCTTTCCCTTCCTGCCCCCCTTCCTTCCTCTTTCTCTTGAAAATCAGACAATAAATGAAAAACTCATTGTGATGGAAAACAATACAAAAAGCCAGGGGACTGGTCTAGATTCAAAGGGACTAAAGAGAGTAACAACCAAATAAAATGCATGAAGCTGATCCAGGATTTAAAAAAAACAATGAAAACCTTTTGTGAGATTAGAGAGATTTATTTTAATTTAGACTATATAGTAGATATATTTTGGGATTGTTACATTTCTCAGGAGTGATAGTGATAAACAGTTATATAGGAAGCTGTTCTGATTCTCTAAATACTTACAAAGTGAAGAATCTTACTTTCATATGTTTAAAAAAATAAGTGCACATATATGAGTAAAATCAAAAAGCAAATATGGCAGAAAATTAACTATTTGTGAAATGTATCATTCTTTTAACTTTTCTATTGTTGGAATTTTAAAAAGAAAGCATTGGCATGTCAGGGAGTTAGAGTAAGGCAAGATAGTTAAAAAGTGGTTGCTATCTTTTAGTTCCGGTTTAATGAAGGTTTTAGAAGGTAGCAGCTAGCATAGAAAGGAAAAAGTAGGATGCAAAAAAGATAGAGATAAAATCCAAAAGATTTGAAATCTTATTCAAGTGAAGTGAAAGTTTTATTTATTAGATTTGAGTTATAAAAAGTAACATTATTGCAATTACAGAAACATGATAAAGAATCAATTTCTCTACTTTTCTAGTCTTTTGTCGCTGAGGCTATGTTGCTTATGGCCACTGTCCTTCATTTGGGAAAATCCTCTCTTCCTAAGAAGCCAATTACAGATGATGATGTAGATCGAATTTCCCTGTGCCTCAAGGTCTTGTCTGAATGTTCGCCTTTAATGAATGACATTTTCAATAAGGAATGCAGACAATCCCTTTCACACATGTTATCTGCTAAACTCGAAGAAGAGAAATTATCCCAGAAGGTAAGGTATATATGATAAAGCCATAAAAGTCCTTGATGGCTTTTTTTTCTTTTTTAATTCAGTTCTCATAAAGGCATACAAAAAGCTATCTTTCTTTCCAATTAAAGAGAAACATGTTTGTTTTCTCAACACAGAAAGAATCTGAAAAGAGGAATGTGACAGTACAGCCGGATGACCCCATTTCCTTCATGCAACTAACTGCTAAGAATGAAATGAACTGCAAGGAAGATCAGTTTCAGCTGAGTTTGCTGGCTGCAATGGGTAACACACAGAGGAAAGAGGCAGCAGATCCCCTGGCATCTAAACTTAACAAGGTAACAAAATATCAAATGCACGGGTAAGTTATTTAAATTGGCTATTTAAGAAAGTAGTAATTAGGAAGTTGCTGGTCCCCTTGGTTTTTAAAAGAAAAATAAGTTATATAGCAGGCAAGTCAAACTCAAAAGCTAATATGGGTCAAATAAACAAGGTTTAAGTTTATGTGGGCTGCAAAAAAAATAAAAGCTTCAATTTTCATAGAAACGTAGGTTTATTTTGATAGAGACATGCTGAATACAAAGGGCTGAAATAAATAATTGTTAACATAAGATAATAGAACATTTTAATAAAAATTAATATTTTTTCTTGCCGAAACCGGTTTGGCTCAGTGGATAGAGCGTTGGCCTGTGGACCGAAAGGTCCCAGGTTCGATTCCAGTCAAGGGCATGTACCTTGGTTGCAGGCACATCCCCGGTGTGGGGTGTGCAGGAGGCAGCTTGTCGATGTATTTCTCTCATCGATGTTTCTAGCTCTCTATCTCTCTCCCTTCCTCTCTGTGAAAAATCAATAAAATATATATATTTTTTAATTAATATTTTTTCTTGAACATTAACTTACCAGACACTGAATAACTGCACAAATCAATAAGCATAACACAACTAAACTTTTTTTTCCTTCTTTGAAAGCAAAATATTTCTTGTTGTGCACACAAAAGTCAGTACAAGACTAATGACGTGGTAGTCAGCTGCTAAAATATTCTCTGCTAGTATTAGTGGAGAGAAATGGTGCGCCTGTGCATAAGGCGCATAAGGGAAACTATTATAGTAATCAGTCAGTAACGAACGTTGTAGTTCGTTATTAATAATTTCGTAAAACAGGATATTCTAAAAATGAAGTTACAAAATTTTTATTAAAACATATATTGGCTGGGCTGCAAAAATGTTTGTTGTGGGTTGTGCCTTGCCACATGCGACCTACAGACCATGTGTTTGACATGCTTGTTATACAGCATCAGTTTTGGTCAAATCATTGTGATTGATAGGTTTGTTAAGCAAGATTGAAATTCAGAAGCTGATAAAGTACTCTACTGCCACAGGATCTGAATTTTATGGGTTCGTGAATTTTGGAGAACATCTAGTGAGTTTAGACAGTAAGGGATTTAACTCCTAAGTTGGATGGTTAATGTATTTGCTAGACATATTTAATGTCTTTCTATTGGGATATAAAGTCTAGGCTCTGTTATTTCTAATGTCTCGGTTTGATTTACCATGTCTCCATGACAAAATAATTTTATTATACCCATTTCAAAATGACTTGTCTAATCTAAGCATATCTATTAATTACCTAACAGACTTAGTCATTTGGCCAGGATATATTTGGCTAAATTTTCTCAGTCATTGATTATCTCTTTGTTTTTGTTTGACAGGTCACCCAATTGACAGGTTTCTCAGATCCTGTATACGCAGAAGCTTATGTTCATGTCAACCAGTATGATATCGTCCTAGATGTGCTTGTCGTGAACCAAACCAGTGATACTTTACAGAACTGCACGTTAGAGTTAGCTACTCTAGGTGAGGAAATTTACTTACAATAAAGGAAGGATATTTATAGTAAGCCATTATGACAGATTATTAAGAGATGTGTACAAGTTCTAGTATAAGAATTCTCTTGAGCCCTAGCCAGTTTGTCTCAGTGGATAGTGTCAGCTTGTGGACCGAAGGGTCCCAGGTTTGATTCCAGTCAAGGGCATCTACCTTTTGGTTGCAGGCTCCTCCCCGGCCTGAGCCCTGGTCAGGGTGCGTGTAGGAGGCAACCAATTGATGTGTTTCTCTCACATCAGTATTTCTCTTTGTCTTTCCCTCTCTCTTCCACTCTCTAAAAAGTCCATGGAAAAATATCCTGGGATGAGGAATTAAAAAAAAAAAAGAATTCTTAAACCATTTGTGACATTTTAATCAAGGCTTAGTTTTACATTTAATATTTAGTCTCCAGTTTTCTGTACCTCTGTGGTGTTATTTTCTTATGCTCTTGGTATATCCAAATAAGTTTATTCACTGAGCTCAATTATAAATACCAATTTTTCTAGATATAAATAAGAATTTAAATTACAGATGACCAAGTAGCTCACTTAGTTAAATTTTTAATTCCTTTAGTACAGACCTAAGTGTTTTCTGAGTCTATAATCAATATATACCATATGTGACCAGAGTAATATATCATTATGATAGTTAGCAATTTGAGATGTCTTTCGTTTTTCTTACTGAAGACACATGAATCATACTTTGACCACTTCTACATCTGGCCTTGAAGTTGGGAAATATAAATTGTATACAAGAACATGCAGTGCCACTAGGAAATTCTATATGGCTTAAACAAGAGTTACGGGACTTGAAGATAATCAAAGGAAAATAGACTTCTGCTCTCAGCATAGCTTGATGTTTATATAAAGAACTATTTTTCTAAGAATTTACATCTTTCTGTAGAGATTTATCTTTTCTTTGTAATGGAGTTTTTAGTATATGACAAACTTTTGAGAAGTTGTATTCATTCAATGACATAAAATGATATGTCCACAGTACACACACACACACACACACACACACACACACACGAATTAAATATAGAATTATCCTGAGAAGCCTATTACTTTTTAAAAATATGCATATTGAAATGAATAATGTGTTAAATGATTTCTTTATTTTGTCCTCATAATATTTGAATCATATCTCTTTTCTTGTTTCTTACTTTGCTAGAAACCATAAAGCTGTATACATGCTAAGGTTTTGTGATTTGAAAGATTTATATGTCTTTATTAACTGTCTAAATTTTTTTCAGGGGATCTAAAACTTGTGGAAAAGCCTTCTCCTTTGACTCTTGCTCCTCACGATTTTGCAAATATTAAAGCTAATGTTAAAGTAGCATCAACAGAAAATGGAATAATATTTGGTAACATAGGTAAGAAATTACAGCATGTGGTGTTTGAATATTTTTGTTCAAGAATTTTTGTAATGAATAGCTGTTTGACAGGACCTAAATCCATTTATTCATTTATGAAGCACCTGCAGAGGTACTAAGCACTGTTCTATGTTTTGGATATACAGAAATGAACCAGATGAAGTCGTTGTCCTCAAGAAACTGTCAAGCAGAAGGAGGAAATAAATATATAATTACAATGCAATGTGGCATTACTACTTGTGTATTCTTCTGGTGTGCCTAATGTAGTATCTGAGTTTTTTGGCTCCCACCACTTATTAACTGTGACCTTGAGCAACTTCTTTTTGTTTCCTCATCAAAAAGATGGAAAATAATATTGTAACAAAGGCTTGATGTGAATGTTAAGCAGGTGATATTTGTACAGCATTTAGAATAGAGCAATGTACAATAAGCATTATATAATATTTACTAATACCATAATCATTATTTGGAAATATTGAAACTATATAAATTTAAATTTGCCTTCGGTGATTTGGGATCGTTTTGTGTATGTATATTGCAGTTTATGATGTCTCTGGAGCAGCAAGTGACAGAAATTGTGTGGTCCTCAGTGATATTCACATTGACATCATGGACTACATCCAGCCTGCAACTTGCACTGATGCTGAATTCCGTCAGATGTGGGCCGAATTTGAATGGGAAAACAAAGTTAGTCCTAGGGAAATATGCTTGAACTCCTTATCTTTATTCCTTTTTAGCTAATGTTGAGGCTTTCGCCTATAAAATTAATCCCATTAAAAGGTGTCAGATGTGAGAAGCAAAGTATTTCAATATCTGTTCTTGCAAATTAGCTTTAATTGAAAGTCATGAAAGTTAAGTTTGTTAAGTTGCTGTTGTAAATTGGTGAGAGTAGCAGTTCTACAATTAAGCTGAAAGATTGATCGACATTATAGACAATATTCCATTTCTTGTATGTATGAATATTAAGTTATAATTGAATCCAGTGTCCAAAAGAAACTTTGCAGTCAGTGGCTTACTGCGCAATTTTCTTTAAGTCCTGATTTTTATTATAAATATTTTCTATGCAATATATTAATCTTCTATGAAGTAATCTGTATCTAAAAATTCTGATACCATCCTATAGTTTGCTAGGTTTTATACATGTCATTTATTTTTTTTTGTTGTCTACCTTTCCCACTAAATACTTAGAAAAACATTCTCATATGACATATGAGTGATTGTTTCTCAACCCCAACTAAGAAATTCACAGCTTTTCTTATTGTAAGAATTATAATCTCCTTGACTTTTCTCTCTTTCTATACAGGTGACAGTTAACACAAATATAATTGATTTAAATGACTATTTACAACACATATTAAAGTCAACCAACATGAAATGCCTCACTCCAGAGAAGGTAAGATTGGACTGAGACCTGAAATCTGATAGAGAGTAGTATGGTAGATTCTTGGCTTTCTTGTATAAGAACCTCTAGTGTATTTTTGTTATCATTCAGCATGAGAAAAGGCATTTCATTCTGAACTAGCTAAAAGAAGTTATCCTATAGAATGTATGAATCTGCTTACCTTTCTCTACTGCGGAGGTAGAGAACCTTTTTTCTGCCAAGGGCCATTTGGATATTTATAACATCGTTCATGGGCTATACAAAATTATCAACTTAAAAATTAGCCTGCTTTATTTGGTCAGACACTTAATTGACTCACTCCTAATGCCTTGGTCTAATGCCTTGGCAGGGCCTGACCAAATGCTAAGGCCCATGGGCCAGACGTTCCCCACCCCTGCTCCACTGGAACATATCAGCCAGCTTGTTCCTACTACAGTGACCTAGCTGAATAGTCAAATTAGTTTTTCTTTTCAATCTTCTCCCTTTAAGCTAAAGGCTTTTTCCAAAATAGTTTTTAATACGCAATTAGAAAATGTTTGTGGTGTCTTTGTTGGCTTTGCTTGTGGGTCAAAATATATCGGCTTAAATACAGAATTCTTGATATACTTTGCTTATCTGCTGTATTTGTGTATGTATGAAAAAAGACTAGAAAGAAAAAATGAAGCTGAGGCTCTAAGGAATATTTGCTAATGTAACAATATTAATTTTATCAGTAAGCTATTTGCTGCTAGAAAAGTACTTTTAATTAATATATTACTGAGTCTGACAGCTATTCAAATAACTTATATGCCCAATACTTTGTAAGCTGTTGGATATCCAATAATGAAAAACTATTAAGTCTCTTCCTTCATGGAGCTTAAGGTCTGATGTAGAAGGAAAACAACTGTAAATAGAAGCTGTATAAATACAAATTGATATAAGTGCTATATCTTTAAAGTCAGGTTTATATAGACATGGTAAAATCCACACTGTTTTCATGTATAGTGCCATGAATTTTGACAAATTCATGTAGTCTTATAATCACCACCATATGATAACTGCCACATAATTTATCTATGCTCTTTGATCTTGCTTATGTGTAAGTTATTTAGAAATAGTGAAGTAGTGAATTTATCACAAATTACTTCCAGGCACTTTCTGGTTACTGTGGCTTTATGGCAGCCAATCTCTATGCTCGTTCCATATTTGGAGAAGATGCACTTGCAAATGTCAGCATTGAGAAGCCTATTCAACAGGGACCAGAGGCTCCTGTTACTGGTCACATAAGAATTCGTGCAAAAAGTCAGGTAATAGTTGCTTTTTAAAAAATATATTTTTATTGCTTTCAGAGAGGAAGGGAGAAGGAGAAAGACAGAAAACATCAATGATGAGAATCATTGAACGGCTGCCTTCTGCACACCCCCGACTGGGGATTGAGCCTGCAACCCAGGCATGTGCCCTGAACAGGAATCAAACCGTGATCTCTTGATTCTTAGGTTGACGCTCAACTACTGAGCCACGCTGGCCAGCCAACAGTTGCTTTTTTTGAGTTCATCTCTGAACAAAAGGATGGAGACTTTATTTATTTTTAATAAATCTTTATTGTTCAGATTATTACAATTGTTTCTCCTCCCTCCCCCTCCCCCCAAAGGATGGAGACTTTAAGTTTTTCTTATTTCTATATGTATTTTTCTCTGTCATACTAATGTTTTGTGCATTAGGTGCAAATCTATTCTCTGAATAGAAATATAACTTCTCTTTTATTAAAATGGTTCACCTTTTGGGCCTTTCATTCTGGGTATTTACTTAAAGCCAGATGGAGTCCTATGGTTTATTTGTGAAATGGGTTCTTCAGAGGTTTTTGAAATCTCAGCTACAAATATACTGGCTGTTTGTAAATCTAGCAAATAGTAGGTAATAACAAACTAAGTTTTTGTTGATCTGTACTCCTTGATTTCATTGTTGAATGTGGTGTTATTGAATGGGAGCTTGTTAAGATAGAATTACCTATTGGTTTTACATAGTTTCAATAATTATAAAAATTTTTGTGTTTTTATTTACAGGGAATGGCCTTAAGTCTTGGAGATAAAATCAACTTGTCTCAGAAGAAAAATATTATATAAGAATAAACAAAAAGTCCTTGCAGCTTTATAGTTAAAACTTAGATATGGGCTTACTGTACTCCAACATCTTTTGTACTTTCATGCTTTATGTTATATAGAATCTTGAGTTCATGCTGAATGCATTCCAGCCAATAATTTATAGCCTTTCCCTTAAATCAAGATTGAGTTTAAAATTATAGTTTGTCTTTGTCTTAACAGTTATGAATGCTGTCTTCAAAGTATATAATATTCTCACATAAACCAAGACCATTTTCACAATAAACAGATCTATTTCTAAATCTTTTGTTATTTTATAAATAAATATACAATTACATAATTTTAGTCATATTGCGATGGATTTCTTGTAATTGGGTTATAAATTTCTATTATAAATTTACTTTGAGTTGTGTATATGTAAACTTCATTGAGATAATTTACAAATGCAATGATATGAAATGAGACAGGTCTTAATTTACTTGATTGATTTTTATTGATTTAATATTCTGACATCAAAATCTCTAAAAACACCTTATCTATAATAATAAAAGCATAATATGCTAATTAGACCAAGCATCCTTCTGAATGAAGCCGGGACTGTGAGGGAAGCCCGAGTCCTGAGTGCCTGCCAGTGGCCGCAGGGAAAACCAGGTCTTGGTTCAGCCAGTTCTGAAGCTGCACTGGATGAATTCATCTCTAGAGGATTCAAAAAGCTGTTCTCTTCGCCTTACTCCTCCCATTTTCTCACTCTACACAGCCTGGGCACCATCACCTGCCATTTTGATTCCAAATGCTTTTCTGAGCCGAATTCTGAACTATTATACTTTGTCTTCCAAATAGGCTTCAGGCTACACTTAGGATCAGGGTGAGTCCATAGATAAGGTCTGTGAAGGAGTGAAAGCAGCATCTCCTATTTTAGCACCTGAGAGGGTGGAATGATTTGTTTGGATTGGAAAGGAGATCGATATCTTAAAGTCATAAACTTTGAAGCGACCTGCTTATTTAATCAGAAAAAAAACTGGGTTACCAGGCATTTGAGACTAAAGCAGTGGTCGCCAAACTGCGGCTTGTGAGCCACATGCAGCTCTTTGGCCCCTTGAGTGTGGCTCTTCCACAAAATACCAGGTGCAGGCGCACACATACAGTGCGATTGAAACTTCATGGCCCATGTGCAGAAGTCAGTTTTCGGCTCTCAAAAGAAATTTCAACCATTGTACTGTTGATATTTGGCTCTGTTGACTAATGAGTTTGCTGACCACTGCTCTAGAGCATTGGAATTTCAAAGCAAAGTCAGTGGCTACCCAATGAAAGATACTAGGATTGTGGAAGAGTGTCATTTTGATACTTTGAGTCAAGGTCTGGGGATTTGTGATGAAAGCAAAGAAACTGATGTGGCTTTGTTTGGATTAGGTCACATTTCCTAGAGGATGTTTGTCCCATTGACCATTAGCTTTCCTGATGTCATTAGGTCTTCTGGGAGAAAAAGGATCCATAGTCAAGTAAGTTTGGGAAAAGCTTTATGCTGTGCTTTACTGGGTATTCACAGTGTACATTAGCATACTACAAATTCTGAAAGGTCCTTGAGGAAGGAACACAGATTAGTTTGGTTTAACCCATCATATCTTAATCTCACTTGACTAGGGAATTCTTTTTTCATAGAACACTTATTGACAATATATAGGACAATAAAGGTGACATCAAGTTAAAGATTTTGGTTTTTGTATTCACAATCAATTTGTATTGCATTTAAGATCTCAAGAAATTATTCCTCTCTCTGTCCTAGAACAGCAGTCGCCAACTGGTGGTCCATGGGGTCCGAAAGGTTGGTGACCCTAGAATATGGGTAGATAACGCTAAGAAGATTGCCTGCCTAACATATTTAGGCCATTTTTGTTGGGATCAAATTGGCTCACATTGCCATTTTCTTAAATTTATAAGTAGAACAAAGAAAGAAGTTAACACAGTTGTCAGAAATCTATACTACATTAAGCAGTTCATTAGCATTGTATTAGCTTTGTGCATCTAATGTAAACTGAATGGGATGGCAGTACTGTTTACAGAAGCTGTTTACACTGTTCTCTCTTAGGATATAATACACGTCTAAAGATTGTAGCCGCTCACATTAGAAGATGTTGTATAATTTGGACCATGGTGTCTGGTAAGAGAATAAATATAGTATCTGATGCCAAGTAAGGGCATCCTCCTATATAATAAAAGGCTAGTATGCAAATTGTTCCCATGGGTGGGAGTTAGATGGGTGCTGACCATCAGGGCATAGCATAGAACATGGTAGGCATCAGCTACGCAGCACTGGGAGTGGGCAGCATTGCAGACGCTGCCATCCCAATGGGGCCTGATGAGAGCAGGACTGCACAGGATGGTGGGGTGGTGAGTGGGCTGTGCCAGGCCCAGGTGAGTGCAAACAGAGGCCCCGATTGCCCCACAGATGGACCCTGATCACCTCCCAGGCCTAGGGACCCTACCTGTGCATGAATTTGATGCATTGGGCCTCTAGTCTTACCTAATAGACAACATGTAAATTGACTGTTACCTCTCTTACACTCACAGTCAATCAGAAGTGAATATGCAAATTAACCTGACAAAGATGGTAGGTTAATTTGCATATGCAGGCATGGCCCAGGAGCAGCCAGAAGGGGCGGGACACCTGCTATGAGAGGGAAGGGGTCGGGGTAGGGAGCTACAGGAGTGGTGCTCCAGCCGGGAGTGAGGACTTGCAGGCTCCCCGAGCAGCTGGGAGTGAAGCCAGGGGAAGGAAGCCCTAGTACAGGAATTTTGTGTACTGGGCCTCTAGTAATATATAAATGTATTGAATGAATTTACCTGTAAGTCTTATGAGACATCAGTAGCCCTTATATTTTGCTGTCTTGACACTAGAGGGAGCTCTTTGCAGCTTTATTTTGGGATTAGAAGTGATGATGTTCAAAGTTGTCATAAGAAGAAAAAAGGTAAATTTATTAGCACGATTGACAGTGATATTTTGCTAGCTACAAGAAACTTTGTGATTTATAAATAGCATAGGAGACGAGAACTCATTTCAGGATTTCTAAAAAGGCAAGAGAATCAAAATACAGGGTATCCACAAAAAAATGTATACACAGCTGATAGCTCAATCGATGTTTCTTTTCAGGTTTAACCTATTGGAATTATTCAAAGTGTGTATATATATATTCTGGGGATACCTGTATTTTTAGAACCTCAATATCAGACGTAAAATATCTGTGCTATATTGGGTAAAGTAAATAGTTTTACTGGTGACCTTTTCCTTCCACACTGATAAATATTCTTAGCTAATATTTTATAGCCTTCCCCTTAAATCAGTGGTTCTTAACTTTTTTAATGCCATGACCCTTTAATACAGTTCCTCATGTTGTGGTGACCCCCAACCATAAAATAATTTTCGTTGCTACTTCATAACTATAATTTTGCTACTGTTATGAACCATAATGTAAATACCTGTGTTTTCCGATGGTCTTAGGCTCTACAGCAGCTGTTCTCAACCTGTGGGTCACATTCCGCAGGTTGAGAACTGCTAGCAGAGTCGCCTAAGATCATCGGAAAACACAGATATTTACATTATGATTCATAACAGTAGCAAAATTATAGTTATGAAGTAGCAACGAAAATTATTTTATGGTTGGGGGACACCACAACATGAGCAACTGTGTTAAAGGGTCACGGCATTAGAAAGGTTGAGAACCACTGCCTTAAATCAAGATTCAGTTTTAAAATTACAGTTTTTAAAAAATTAATTAAATAATGGTTTTTCTTAACAGTTCTAAACGCTCTTCTCAAAGTAGAATTGGGTCTATCAGCTCCCTGCCTACTGCCCTCTCCCAAACTCAGTATATCATCAGTGTTGCCTGTCTTGCTCCCTGAGCTCTACTCTTTACCCTTAAAATTTCAGGAGCTTAAAGAGTTAACTAGCTACAGTGCAGAAGTTCAGTTCAAAATCCAAAAAGCATGGAGTCTCTGAAGCATAGTAACCTCCATCCTGTATAAAACTGCTGTTTGAATTACCTGCTATTGTTAGATAGTCCCTAGTCCTGTAAACTCTGTCATTGTTAACTCTGTCACTTTAAGACAGTCTCTTAATCTATAAAATGATTTTTTTTTTAGTTTAAATAATAGAAAAGAATAAACTTAACTGTCTGACCTTGTAAGCTAGCCATTCAATGTATTAGACTAAAATAGATTAATACTGATAATAATTCCCATATTCTTATGCCAAGTACTAACTAATTATGTGTTCAAGGTTACAACTGTCTGTAACAGTAACTCACACAGAGCTCTTTGTAATATCTGCAGACAAAGAAGCTTGAAAAGTATTAATACAGGAAACTTCCTGTATGGGTTGCTTAGAGATTTGGGAGAGACACCTCCCTCTGGGCCAAGTGCAATACATGACTCCTAATTAATTGGGTCATTAAGGCATCTTATATTTTGCTCATTGTTTTATGATACTACATCTCTATCTGCCACTTACTTGTTGCATGGTCTTAGACGATGGTAAATAGCTAATTTATTTAATGCTTATATATGGCAGGCATAACACTAAGTGCTTTTTCCATGATATGTATAATCCTCCCAATTACTATATGAGGCAAATATTATTATACCCCAAAATAGGTATTGATAAGCAAATAATGTTAAGTATATCCAGTGAGTAATATATAGAGAGGGTAAGTTACTTAGTATTAATTAAGGCTTAACAGACATTAAGCCAGGATGCATAAAACTAAAGCCCTTGCATCTAATCACACATTGCTACTGCTTCCCTTTGTGCCTTGTTTCCACATTTATACGGTGCTTATAATGTTTGCTTCATAAAGATGACATGAGGGATGAAATAATGTATTTATTATGACTATTTGGTACATAATAAATTTCACTCCAATTCTCCCATTCACCTTCCTTCCTTACACAGAGAAAATGGAAACCTGTTCTCTTCATACCTCCCTAAGAATTTAGGTCCTGCCCTAGCCAGTTTGCTCAGTGGATAGAGC